CTACTCCCTTTCATAAAGGGGACTCAGCCCATAGTTGAGCATCAGTTAAGATACCAGAATCAATGTAATTATATTATTTAATTGCCACTGTGCTAATAATTATTTGTTTAATCTGTTACATTTATTTGCCATTCAATAACAAAAGTTCTCATTGCTATAATATATATGACTTCCCTCTTTCATTCCCAGGCATCTGAATGCCACACACCTTTCCACAGTGACTTCTTTTGGTAAAGCACAAGATTCCTAATCTCAGGGTTATGGGTTCAAGCAAAAGATTCCTGCATTGCAGGGGGTTGGACTAGATGACCCTCATGGTCCCTTCAAACTCACAATTCTGTGATATCTGTGTAATAGAAAATCCTGTTCCAGTCAATTCATAACGTGTGATAATTGACCCTGCTGGGACTCAACCTTGTCTTTTTTAAATAATAATAATAATAATAATAAATTACTTATACCCCACCCATCTGGCTGAGTTTCCCCAGCCACTCTGGGCGGCTCCCAATCGAGTGTTAAAAACAATACAGCATTAAATATTAAAAACTTCCCTAAACAGGGCTGCCTTCAGATGTCTTTTAAAAATAAGATAGCTGCTTATTTCCTTGACATCTGGTGGGAGGACGTTCCACAGGACAGGTGCCACTACCGAGAAGGCCCTCTATCTGGTTTCCTGTAACCTCACTTCTCGCAATGAGGGAAACACCAGAAGGCCCTTGGTGATGGACCTCAGTGTCCGGGTAGAATGATGGGGGTGGAGACGCTCCTTCAGGTATACTGGACCGAGGCCGTGTCGGGCTTTAAAGGTCAGCACCAACACTGCTAGTGTGCCCTGGAACAAACCCAACAGTTTCCCCGAAGAGAAAAATCTGTAGTGGTAGGCAAGCTTTCAGAGAAGCTTGTCTATTGTCCTGTTGCAATCTCTCTTGATCAGCTTCTGAAGAACCCACATTGCAACATGGAAATCACAGTTGCAAGCTGTGTCAGGTATGAAAATTGATTAAGCTTTGTATTATTTGTGCAATATAGTAAGCATGGTTGTTGTAAATATACAGGCCAGGATCCAAAGCTCTGCACCTGGTGTTTCACCTGCAGGCCAAGCCTTTTCACTGACAGTTGTGTCACCTGAAAAGGCGCACAAAGGGCTGAAGAAAAAATGGCCGTGTCCGTCTACAAAGGGGATAGAATTTGGCTGGCATAACAGCGAGCCATTAACAATTTAGAATGGCCCAAGATATTCTGCTGCCTGAGATAAAGGACAAGATACAGCGCCCGCCTCTCAACTGGATTTGCACCTGAATCTTCAGCAGTGGTGAGGAGACAATACCCTCCACCATAAGACCAGCAGGCTAGCTTAGTGGACACAGGGCAAGCTGCAGGGCACATAGCTTTGTCCTTTAGCAGAAGGGGAGGCCAGAGGGGGCTGATAAGAAATGTGGTCAGGACAGTGGCATCAATGCACCACCCCAGCATCTGGCGCCTGAGGCAGCTAATGATAGGGCTGGCTGCATGGACAATCCAGAATTGATACTGCTACGAACTTCAGCCCATGTACTGTACTGACAGTCATGGTAACCTTTTATAGGACTCAAAAACATGTTCATAATAATAATAATAATAATTTATTATTTGTACCCCGCCCATCTGGCTGGGTTTCCCAGCCACTCTGGGCGGCTTCCACAGAGACCAAAAATACACTAAAATGTCACACATTAAAAACTTCCCTGAACAGGGTTGCCTTAAGATGTCTTCTGAATGTCAGGTAGCTGTTTATCGCTTTGACATCTGATGGGAGGGCGTTCCACAGGGCGGGCACCACTACCGAGAAGGCCCTCTGCCTGGTTCCCTGTAGCTTTGCTTCTTGCAATGAGGGAACCACCAGAAGGCCCTCAGCGCTGGACCTCAGCATCCAGGCAGAATGATGGGGGTGGAGACGCTCCTTCAGGTATACAGGTATTCATGCTAACAGCCTGGTTAGGAACTTTGAAGTTGGTCTTAAAGTGTTCAGTTATTTGCAGGATCCAGCCTACAGGTGGGTGGGTCTTCACTAGCAATGATGCCACACACGGAAAGATTCTCTCCACATTTCTTTTTGTTTCGTTAATAGGGCTCTCTTTTTGTACCCTCTGTTGAGAACTTAGCTAGTTAAAAATAAGAAGAAAGACTGCTCTTGCATTGCATCCTCATGGCAGTGCCTGAAAGGAACCGCTCCGCAGTGCCCAATATAACATGGGCATCATTAAGTCAGTGTAGACTTTAATCATACCACATTTTTCCTGTTTAGATAAGATCTCAGAATTATTAATTGTGGAAGTGAGCTGAATGCAAGAGCAAATACTGCTTTAGCAGAGGCTTAGAAACATAAGTGTTGGACATTGCAGCAGACACAAAAATCAGCAAGTGGGCATAATTAGATTATAAGCCTCCAGATCAGAAACGGTGTCATTTTTGCTAAGTATGAAGAGTGAGGCACTCTCATCAACTTCTGGGACTGCAGTTCAGTGCACAATTACGCGGAATGCCATGTACTTTACTCCTGAGTAAAATTGTATTGCCTTGCAAAATTGGTATATGAAGAAATCCTGACCCAGGAGCACACTGTGAATTGAGCCACTTACGCTTATGAAGAATTTGATCTACAAACTGATACATTTATTATTAGGCGTTTGAGGCAACCTATCACCCGTGACTTCTGGACTTTGGGACTTTTTGGGACTGGGCCTATTGAGCTATAAAACACCCGGCTGACATGGTGCCTCTCAGGCTAGGAAACTGACACTTGCTGGCTGTATGGTGAAGAGATTTGTTACTGAGAACACCCCACCACCCAGTAACCTTTCTTGCTTAGCTGAGAAACACCTGCAGCAAAGACCAGCTCCTTGGCAAGACCACGGGGGTTGCTGTGACTCTTTTCAGGACTGGACATTGAGCTACAAAACATCCTGCTGGCGTGATGATGTGGTGAAGCAACCTTCAAAAGGTGGTGTGCCCTTTTTTGAGTTTAGATTTGTTGATTTTTTTAAAAAAAATAGGCCAATATGTAAAAGTGTGAAGTTGTATGAAAAGTTAATTATTTGTTGGTGGAGATGCTAAGAAACGTTGTTTCACATTCAAGTATGTGAGCTTGTTCTTGTGGATCCTGTCCCCCACACCCTCATGGGAGAAAGGAGAGGACTGGGTGTTGCATGCTAGGCTTGTAGATCCGTGTTTATTCCCCCCCCCCCCCCGTAGGCTCTGGTTTTTGTAATGTGGAGTTGGCTAGCTGGCTGGCTGCAGTGCGACAGAGAAGTGGTTTCTGCTTTAGGGCGAGAACATGTTAGTGGAACCTGCTCTCTGTGTGATAGAGGGAGGAGGAGTGTGTGCACCCTAGGGGTGTGTGTTTGTTTGTTTGTGTGTGTGTGTGTGTGTGAGAGAGAGAGAGAGAGAGAGATAGGGGTGCCTTAATTGATGCTTTTTCTGTTTCTTGCTGCAGGGTTTGCTGGAGTTCCTAACACATATCCAGTGTGATTTATGGGTATTTTGTATGGTTTTGATTGATTTATTGTAGATTTCTTTTATATTAATGTGTTTTTCACTGCTTTGGGCGCCTTTTGCCCCAAAAGCGGTATATAAATAAGCCCGGGCATAGCATTCTCCTTCCACAAAGGGCACCTTATATGTCTATCTGAAGTTGAGTGTAATTTATTGCTAGGTTTAGTCATAAGAAAGGAGTTGTTACTGTGGCCAAATTAACAGTGGTAGGACTGGACTCTTGGGCTGTATCTTTAAATGTACACACGAAACTGTCTTGCTGAAAGGAATTGGGCTTTTAAAAAAAGCTGGGCAAGGGGAGAAGAGGGGGGACCTAGGTTCTTACGCCTCCGTTCTATGGAACACTGTGGACAGAATGCCACTACGTTGCATTTAGTAACTTAAATCCACAGCTCTTTTGCTTACACTGCGGGGTTTTTTAACCCAAACAGGGATTTCGAGCCTATCCTATCAACAACAGTCTCTTTAAACTCATTACTGGTGGGTTAGCCGCTGCCTAAATTCCTCTTTATCCCACGAACAAAACTTCCAATATGCCTGCAGAGATAGCGGGGACATCAGAGGTCAAACATGCCTTTGGTGTTCTCAAAAGTAGGGCAACGCTGGGCTCTATAGGGAGCTGGCAAAGAATGGTGTGGCCTTGTGTTGAGTGCTTTTATTTTTTTATTATCACCTAAGCAGATAGGCCTAAATTCAAAGGCCGTTGATCAGGTAAAAAAATAAATAAAAGAAATGTTTGACCAACTGTTAAGTCTTGATATTGGCTAAAGACACTTAAGATCTCAAAAAGTGACTCGTTACTCTTTCTGGCTACGTAGGTACTTCAGTAAACACACGCGGAGAGCCTTCTGACAAATTAAAGATAAAACCGTTGTGAGAGGAGGCTACATTTTTCTGAAGCCCTGGAGAGGAGTTGTTCGGAGGAAACTTTGATACAGATCGCTATGAACACGCCGCCCTCCAAGGCAACATCATGGTCCTCGTTCCTCCATTAGCTTAAACAGGGCAGCATCTATCTGACTCCAGCTCCTGCCTGTCCTGTAGTAGGGATGCATTATTTATCTCTCTGTGTTATTTTCACAGATTTCTGGAGAGAGCGGGGCAAGGTACAGGAATAATAATAATAAAAGAGAGAGAGAGAGAGCGCGCCTAGCCTATCCTCCCCCCCCCGTCTCTCTCAAAAGCCCACGTTACTTTGATTGACAGCTCAGCCTCTCCACTCTCCTTCTCCCCGACCTTCCCATTTTCCCTGCCTGTCTGCCTGCTCCGCCGCCTCCCATTGGCTCGCTCGGAGGGGTCCTGCAGCTCCGCGAGGAAGCCTTCCTAGCAAAGGCGGGGGGCGGGGGGGCGGGGAGGAGAGTGAGAAGGGGGGAGGCGAGGCCTGCCAGCGCCGGCTTCCCATTGGCCTGATGTCACGGCCCCACGTTGGTTCCCGAGCCGGCGATTGGGCGCCCGCCCCTCCTCCCCCTCTCCCGGGGCGGGGCCAAGGGGCTGGTTAGCTCGAGGAGTGTGAAACCGCGTGTTAATGTAACCAGCGCGGGCGGATACTTTGTGTCCCGTTTATTGCGATCCCGCCGCCGAGCTGGGCTGCGCGTCCCGCGGAGTTTCCTCCTTACGCGCCGATCTGGTCTCCATGGAAGAGAAGAAAGCCTTGTGATTATTTGCGGCGGAACGACGACGACGAGGAGGAGGGCGATCGCCTGCTCCGCCTGGATGTTTCTTCTTCGAGGGATCCTGGGGAGAACTTTGGCCCGGGATTGAGCGAGGCAGCGAGGCGGGCGGCCGGCCGACGGGAGAGAAGAAGAGGCCGCGCGGGAAGGCGAGCGGGGATGCTGCCGCCGCCGCCGCTCCGTCCTTTCCTGGCGGGGCTCTAGTGCGGAGGCCGCTCGGCGCCGTCCGATGCGCGGCGGGCCTACGGAGGCAGCCCGTCCCTTCCTTTTGGTCCCGTTCGCGGCGCCTGGCTGCGGGGAGAGGAAGCGAGGCTGAAGCGGGGCTGGTGGGGGCGGGCGGGGGGCGCTTTTCCCTTTGCCCCTCTCCGGGCGCGGCTGGATCCGCCGCTTTGCTTTGCGCGCCCCATCCAGCAGCACCGCCACCCCCTTTCCTTCCCCGTGTCCCGTGCGCGCCCCGGCCTCGAGTCTCCCTCCCGGCGCCGGCAGCCGCGTGGCCTTTTGTAGCGGGACTCCTCGGCTGGGGCGAGCCAGCCCTTCCGTCGGACTTGACTCGCTTGGATTTTCGAGTTGCAGAGAGATCGCAGGAGCTGCTGCTGCCGCCGGGGAGTTTGGGGGCTTACAAGTGCGCCGCGCAAGTTTGAAGAGGAGATTTCTTGGCTGGGGGGCGGGCGGGCGAGGAAGGAGCCCCGTCGGAGGAGGAGCACGGGCGACCGCGACGAGAAGCGACCCCCTTGCCCGGCCAGGGCTCCCCTTCCCCGGTGACATTTCTCTCCCCCCCCCCAAAAAAGCTCACAACAAAGGAAGCGGCTGGAGCGAGGCGGCGGCGGCGGCGGGAGGATGGTGCAGTTGAGCCGCGAAGCCGAGTAAGGGCTCCCGGTCCCGCTCCTCTCCCTCCGGCTGCCTTTGGTGCGCTTCTCCCCTCGGGATTTAAACTTCGTCCATTCAGCTGCGAAGGAGCAAAGCAGCAGCAGCCCGAGTCATGTTTCCGCAGAGCCGGCATCCCGTAAGTGCCCCCCCTCTCCCCGATTGCGTGTCTCCCCCCCCCCTCGGGGTCGCCCCCCGTCCGGGCAAAGTGCGTGCAAGGTCGCTTCCCAGGGACGGGCCCCTCTCGGCCGCCTGCGAACTCTGCCCGTCCCGCCGGAGGAACTTGGCGGGCCCGCGCCTGGCTCGCTCGCTCCCTCGACTCCTTTGTTTATTCTGGGACTTGTTTGTCTACCAGCCGACAATGGCGGGGAGTGGGGGGGGGCTGCTGCTCTGGTCGATCTCCGCTTTCCAGCCCAACTGCGGGGTTAGATAAGAGAGACGGGCAGCCGGCGCTTCTCCCCCCCCCCACCACTCCAAAGAAAAGCCTTGCCGGTGAAACCTAGACGCCCCCGAAGTGTCTCCTGAGATGATGGTTCCCGGAGACAGCATCTTGCCTCTGAGGATCTCCCAGAGCGTTTTGCAAAACTGTTTTGAAAAGGAGGAGCAGATGGGTCTTCAGTCCCCCAGTAAAACATTTGAGCCCCCAAGTTGTTGGACATTGCCATTCAAATGGTGTGTCATGGACCCCCAATATATTATTCAAGTCGGCACCCTTGACCAGCAGGTTTTTAAAAGGTAGGCAAGAAGCACCAGGCAGGTGGCCATGGAGAAATACTTGTGAATCTCCAAAAGGACATTTCTGTGCCAGGTAACTAACCTGTGGCCCTCCAGAGGTTGCTGGACGCCCGCTTGCCTCATCCCTGGGCTGATGGTGGGGCTTGGAGTCCAACAACATCTGCAAGGCCCAGTTTCCCCAGTGCTGCTTGAAGGGCCCCCCCCACTTTTTTAAGTGTCCTGCGCCCCTGGCCACTGTCTTCTTGGGTTGTGCTCTGTAGTTGGACTTCAGCTGTAGAGATGACTTTGCCTCTTATCTACACAGATTCCTCCTAACTCTTTGCTTTCTTGCTCTTCCTACAGACGCCACACCAGGCTGCAGGACAGCCTTTTAAGTTCACCATCCCAGAATCTCTAGACCGAATCAAAGAGGAGTTCCAGTTCCTTCAAGCTCAGTATCACAGGTGGGTGCGGCCTGGTCCCTTCATTCCTGCCTTCCTGTGCTCTGTAGGCCACGTCTGTTTCGGGGATTTCAAGTTGCTCCACAGCGTGCTTGTTCTGTGGGGTGTGTTTTGCTTGTTCAAAATGTACTTTGTAGTTGTGCCCAGGTGGTGGCGTGTGGAGTCAGTTTAAGGCTGTCACTCACTTAAAAACAATGGTCAGAACCCCCCCCCCCCAATTTTTTTTTGCATAGGCTCTTCAGTTCAGGTGAACGTAACCCACCCTCCCCCAGAATGTGCTTTCAGAACTACACAGGAACTGTCAATATTTGCTCTGGAAAGTTTTGAAAGAGACTGAGTTGACATTTGGTCAGCCAGTGTATTCTTGTCGTCATATTCCTGCATTCCACTACTAAATGGTTGAAACATTGATTTAAACTTCTGTTGTTTGGGAAACAGAGGCATTTGGATACTAGGAACCTGTCACCACTGCTAGTAAAGGGTTCAATTTTTCCTGCCTTGACAAAATGGTGTTTGAACACTTACCCAGGCCGCTAATAATTTCATCATGTGCAAGTTCACTTAGAAGTAACTCCCACTAAGTGCAGTGAGACTCACTTCTTAGTAAATACGCAAAGCCAAAACAGCAGATATGGTATTGAAAGTGATATGGTATAAAAGTGAGGTAAGTCTACCGTATGCAAGTCCTAATGAAATCAGTAGGGCTTTTCCAAGCAAACATGTCCTAGACTTGGTTTATTAGCGTACTATCTTAGTTTGTAACAAAACAAACACACGATACGATACGATACGACACACACACATACTGAGATCATGTTATTTAGCTTGAGGTTCATGTGTACACAGTTTTAACTCTTCTAACTCAAAAGATCAAGCCAATTCAGATAAGTAGTATTCTGAGACAGCAAAGTTTTAAGATAGTATGAGCTGATCAGGTATTCTAGCACACCACTGCAATTACCCTTTGAGAGAGAGAGAAGCAGCAAAACAGTTTGAGTTTCTAAAGGATTTATCTTGATGGCCTATAGACTTACATTTTGAATTAACACACTTTCATTGTAATCCCAAACATGGGAGAAGTAAATTTCCATTTGGGGTTCATTGCATGTTAGAGTTTTATGCATGACAGCCTGATCCTGTGTATGCTTACTTCAGAGGAAATTCAGTGGTGTTCACTGGGACTTGCTTACAAATAAGATTGCAGCTGGGTAGCCCAACCTCTCCACAGTAAATGTGCACAGAATCCTATTGTGGCTTTACTTTCAGCTGAAAGGCATCAACTACTGGTGTAGTTAAGCATACATGTGATGCTGTAATCTCTTAATGGCATCACTTAAATCACACTATGGTCCACTTTATAGGAGAAAAGCATGCATGGATTTTAACTGATGCTAATTTTGAGAAGGGCCGGTATCTAGCTATCATTTAGGTGCTATTCGATTATGTAAATTCATACTGATTCATTTCTTGCTTAGTTTTTTAAACAGGTAACTTTATAGTGCAATACTAGGTGGAAATGTACTAATATTGAAGTAGTGTAGTATAAATAGTATATAATTTCAGGTAGTTTTTGTTGTTTTAAAGTGATTGCTTAGAAAGAACATGTAAAGATATAAACTTCTGTAATTATTCTGAACTCTAGTGTTTTATCTTTGGGATAGATGTACTAACTTTCTGAATATTAACACTGGCAAGAAATCAGGAATTGTACTTCACTGCAGCCTCTAACAATCATAGATCCCTATTGGAACCATGGCTTCTATACATCATCTGAGTAAATGTGTGTTTAATTTGTTCTGAGTTGATATTATGTACTCTGCATATTTGAGCTTGATCTTCCATATTAAAGCAGTATGCTACAGTTTCTCTGTATTTACACTGTGATATATTATGACAGCTCTTCAAACAACTTTCTTTTCAGAATGCAAGCAATGGCAAATACTTGAATTGACATACTTAAAAATACCTGTGTCATGGTTGGTTTGTTTTTATTTCAAATATATATTATTTTCTTCCTAGCCTTAAGTTGGAATGTGAGAAGCTGGCAAGTGAAAAGACAGAAATGCAAAGGCACTACGTGATGGTAAATACAATACAATCTTGTCTCCTTATTTGTTTTGATAAAACACAGAAATGATAGCATTGGAATACCCCTAGGAGGTCAGCCAGCCTAGCCCTAGCCCCATGCTCAGTGAAGGATGGAACTATTCCAGGCAGTGTCCTCTCTTTAAACAGCCCCAGCCAAGGAGAGAGCCCATGATCTAGACAGTCCCACGATTGAGCAGCTGTTCCTGTTTGGAAGATTCTCCTAATGTTAAGTCAAAGCCTGCTTGCTTATAATTTTATCTATCGCCTTTTGGAGTAGTAGATTGAACAAGCCTGCGCCATCAGTTTTGTAAGTGCCTTGCTGCCTTTTGCATGATTCTAACACATTTTTTTCCTCCCTTTTTTCTAGTACTATGAAATGTCATATGGGTTAAATATTGAAATGCACAAACAGGTAAGAAATTGATATGATACGTAATTGCAAAACTGCTAGAGTGCTGTGGTGCAAAATGTTTGTAGTTTTAAAAAAGCCATAGTGTATGTAGATGAACTCAGAGATGGGAGAAGGGGAATGGTGTAAGTATAATGCATAGCTTTTCTATAAACTACAAGTTGGCCATGTGAGGGTTGGCATAAATACAAATGAGTTATGATTGCTACTCTGTTCTAATAAAGTCTTCAAAAATATTTCAAGTTAGTGCTTTCAAGGAAACCAATTTCTAGGAGAAAACTCCACGTTATAATCTTGGGTCTGCCTAACCAGTCTCTTATGTCCAAGCGCATATGTTGATGGTTGCTCAAATCCTAGCAATTTAAAAGCATGAAAAGATTAGTGACTTGGAAAGCTCTTGGTTATGACTGAGTTTGGAAGTTCCCATAAAATTCACACTTATGGCCACTATAATGGTGAATAAAAAGAGTATTGAAGTGGAACAAGGCACTAAGAACCTCATAAGAGAAGAAAAGCTAAATGATTGCTCAGCCCAAAGGACCTTCAATTGAGTAGTTATTGTCTGCCAAAGAAAGCATTAATGGCAGGGTGTAAGTATTCTGTAGATATGCTGACATCCACTTTTTCATCAAGATGCTGGTACAATAAGTCTTTTAGAAATCGATGGCCTCTTAAAAAAATTATCATTAGATGAAGTTGCACAGTTGGACACATTTCAAAGTGCAACAATACGATTCTTTCTTGATGTATATGTGCTATTTCATCTAAAACTCTTGTTTCATTAAATTAAAGAGCATGGCTGACCGGCTAGGGCACAGCAAAGAAATTGATTAGTTCAGGCTTCACATCTTCAGTATATTCAAAGGCTTCCATTAAGCAAGTGTGTTTCAGTGCTGAATTCTGCTTTTGTAACTCTGAACTCTTTGATTTTTTTTGTCTGTAAAATCCATTGGATGTAAGAACATCGTATTTGGTAATGCAAAGTTATCACTGTGTCAAAGGTAGATGCTTTTTAGCTATAGAAAGTGCATTTGGTAATACATGTTTGCATTCAAAGTATTCATTCACATAAATACTCTGGCAGCTTTCAGTATTTGGATGTATTGCTGAATTTTAGGAAAAAGCAACAACAGGCCTTTCCTGGACTCTCGCTCTTTATTTTGTTGCCTGCATTTCTTTTGAAACTACTCGTCTTGTGTTGATACAGATACTAAAGTTTCTCTTGGAAAAACAAAAATGTCTAAGCTACTATTTGCTGACACCTTTTATTTAACAGAGGTCTAAATGCAGGCAGCTTGTTACAAATCATGGGCTTTGTGAGCTTAATTGGTAGTACTTTAACATTGTGACTGACATTAAATTATCTTCTGGTAGAGCAGAAGAAAATGTGTAATTTGGAGCAATGGATTGAAAACTGACTTCACTTTTTAAAGATTAAACCCCCTAAATTAAAGAGCCCTGGAGCTGAGGCCTCTGCTTTCGCCTTAATGTGTGTATTTACTATAATAGCTTTGTTTTCTTTTATTTTAGCATGCATCTTATAGGCAGGGTGGTATTACCTGTGGCAGAGACTATATTTTAGGCTACAGTATAAATTGCCAACAAATCGCTTGCAAATTGGCAAGAAAATGTTTTAAGCCTTTTGTAGAAGTTTGCGTACTCTTTACATTGTATACAGTGGTAGATAAACCAATAAGGAAACCCATGTTTCAGTTTCACAGACTGAAACCAATCCATGCCCCAGCTAAGCAATCGCTTCTGAAAAATGAGAAGTTCTACTTCTCAAGTCTGTCCAAATCATCATCTTAAAAATTTGAAAAGTGGGGAGGAAACTCCCTGATCTTGAAACATGGACAGTATGTTCTTGGGCATTTGGTGGAGAGTAATCATAATTCTTATTAAAACTGGTGATGTGTAGCCCCTGGGGTGTAGCAAGGCTCAAATTGATGCTTTTTGCTGGCTGATCACCAGCATGGCCTAAGTGCTCATTATGTTGTAGAGAAGGCCTTCAGAGCTCTCATTACGTTTGACAGGAATTCTCTCTAGGGGGAAACTGGGCATTAGCTAGACTCCTGACAGGCTGAAATTATTCCTGCTTTATGGCTTATAACCAAATGCTTAGCAAGGCATCATCAGGGGACACAAAAGTTGTCACTTCTGACAACATATTTTTTTATACATATATACTGAAAAATGCAAAGATGGGGAAAGTTTTTCACTAAGCTCTAATCTTAATGGGGCCTGCATCTAGTGTGTTTTTATATGGTCCAGATATATTTTTCTCCATGCCTTCCTGTGTTAACAAAGCCTGAATATAGTAAAACACTGCCGTTATCCAGACTGTCAATTCATAGAGAAAAGTTATTTATTGCATACATTTGTAGTTGCTTTTCAGTGTTGTCAGTGTTCTCCCAGGATGGATTTCAATGTCGTCATTCTGCTTGAGGAATAGTTTTGTTCCAATGTATGCCTCTGTGAATGGAAGAAGAGGGGAAGCAATATTCTGTGATTCTCCCTAAACCCCTTCCGTGCTGTACCAGAGCGTTCCTCAGCCACCTAGAACACAATTTATGAGGAGCAGCAGGAGGAAGGAGGAATATGTGTAAATTCTCTCCCCTCCTCTTTAGCAGAGATTTCTGCAGGACCAGAAGCTGCAGACAGTAGCAGAAAAGATTCCACCTGTATAATTGATGGATTTTATAAACTCAGTCTTGACAATAAAACTTATCCAGCTTCTGCCATGTCCCCTCTTAGAAGTCATGGAGAGCTGATATGGGCAGCCACTATTACATTCTCACTGTATGATTCTTTCATGGTCCTTCCATGCTGCCCGTTTCAAGGGGCAGTGCTGGGGTTTCTGTATATGCATGGTATATAGCTAGCTCCTGTTCTTACAAACGTCGTAAACTGCTTTAGATAGGTTAGAGAAGTAAACCCTCTACCTGTTACTCAGAAATGCCCCCCTCCTCTTGATTTCAGTGGGACTTGTTTCTCAGTCAGTGTGTATAGGAATGCAGTCTCAATCTATTTTTAAGAGGTCTTAAAAAGATACTTCATTCAGGAATATTTTGCCTAGTAAAGCTAAACTGACTTCACTTTAGCCTATAATGGTAAAGGGACCCCTGACTATTAGGTCCAGTGGTGGACGACTCTGGGGTTGCGGCGCTCATCTCGCTTTATTGGCTGAGGGAGCCGGCGTACAGCTTCCAGGTCATGTGGCCAGCATGACTAAGCCGCTTCTGGCGAACCAGAGCAGCGCCTATACGACCAGCTTAATACCATGAAACATCTTCCATCCCCGCATTGGCTTGGATCCTGAGCTCTTCTTCCATGAATCGGAATCTTTAGCTGGTACAAAGATAGCAAAAAGGGTGTTTCCCTGGAAGATGGCGTGTTTTGGCTATGTGGGATATTAGGACTAACCACCTGGCTGACTTTGAGTGTTTTGCGGTTAACTGCACACTTTTTCATATGCAGCAACTAGGTTTTTCCCTAGCTTGCATTTGGAAATACTAAGCTTCTACTCCATCGAAATCTGATGTAGATCCTTCTAGGAAGCAAGCTGTAAAATGTATGAGTTTCATGCCAATAATTCATTTTTAAAAGAGTTGCTCATTATAGCAGTCAGGGTTAGCAGTGGTTACTGTGGTAAAGCTGGTGCCAAGTCGCAGAGTTTTCTTGAATATTATCAGCCACACAGGAAGCATTCTCTGTGTGTCATTCTCACCAATCATGTCTGTTGGCCTTCAGAGTAAACCAGAAGGTAAACCTTCTCGTGTGTTAAAACCCAAATTGTTTAGGTGTAAGATTAGCCTTTGTTCAGTGGCAGTTGGCCAAAGAAAGATTGATCACTGCTGAACCCACTGACAGACTATATAAACTACTACAGTGTTTGAGTTCCAGCCATCCTAAAACTGACAGGTGGGCCTTTGTCTGCTTTGGGTAGATTGCTATGATCTTTCTGACCTGCCTTCAGGCAAGCTTGTCACTCTGCCCTTCTATGTTTTCTCCCCCTTTTCTGTCTGGCTTGTTGCCTTCTCACTTCCAAATAATTGCAACTTCAAAAACGGTGCATACTGCTAACAGCACTATTCTTCTCCTTCGTTTAAGGAAGCACTCATAAAGCTCTCTGTATGCAAGACTCTTCCCGCAAAAAATCTCTTCCTGATTGCTCATTAAATCATCAGTAGTGGATGTTGACAATAGTGGGTTAAAGAGAGTGACAATTTAAGCAGTGGTGGACCTTGATTTCTCAAACTTGAGTGGCACTTTCTGCAATGCCAAAATCTGCCCCCCACTTCTCGCCTTCTATTGGATATCTTAGTTGCAGCACCCCAGAAAATCTGCACCCAGCGTGGCTGAACAGTTTTCAGTTTCCTAGATCTACATTTCATTCAAGAGACTTCCTTGGTTCTCTACGCCTTTCTTAAGAGGCGTAGTAGAGTTCACCTAGTTCTCGCTGAGATAAGGGAGGAAGGCTCACCTTCCTAGTAAACTAGATATCAGTAAATATATCTAGTTTTCTACATGCAGGAAATTTGTTCTGTAGGGAAGAGGATCAATCATGAGGATCGAGGCTCGGGCTATAATTAGAACATCTTTAAAGATAATTTCTCCTTCCTTTGGCTGCTGCATTTTAATTGCTGTCATAAAATGTTGTCTGAATTTCTGCTGAATGCATTGATTCTCTATCTTTGTGGAATTAAGCTGAACATATTTTTTTAACACTGGTGTGCTGAAGAGCGCATCCCAGTGTAGTTTGGCTCAGGGATTTAGACAGGCATTTGGCCACAGAGCCAAGGTTTTTGGGGGAAATGCACATCTGGGAATGCCAGTGGTGGGGAAAGGTGGCGCAGAGGAATATTGAAAAAAGAGCAAGGGTTAAAATCTTGCCCCTCAACTGTTATTTCTCTGCAAACTAAAATTCCGAGCGCCACCACTCTTCAGCTGCTCAGCCCTTAACAGGACTTTTCACACACTAGAAGATCTTGAAAAGTGAATCTCTTCTATTAAGCAACCCACTGCATAAATTCTGAGGGGGGCGGGCAGCCACAGTAGAGGACAGCACCGCGTTCCCCTTCCAAATGTTTGAGTTGGCTCTGGGAGCAACCTTCTCTTGAAATCTGTGACAGTTGGATGTGCCTTTTGTAACCTCAGCAATAGGTTTGGCTGGCAGTGTGTAAAGAGTTCTTACCTGCAGTCTTACTGTGGTTAATTGGGGCAATCTAAACAATTAAGACTGATTGGAAATGATGAAAAGTAGGACATGGCTGATCTGCCATGGGCCATGCTTCTGGAGCAGTGACACAAACCTCTGGCTAAGTGGCAGCCCTTATGTCGTAAGGCTTTAAAAAATGATTGGACAGAAAATCAAGCCACACTGGATTGTTTTTTGTTCCGTTTTCAGCCTTTTGATATCTTGGGTAAACAGTCGGTCAAAGCAGCTTATGGAATAAGGTGACCAGTCAGTGTATTGACAAGAACAGACACAATAGAAAACTGCATTAGGAGGCAAGCCATTGGGATTTGCAGTAAATATATTACTGAACACAAGTGAATTGCCAATACTGCTTGTTTAGCAGTTTGCAAGGGCAATGGCAGTATGGATTTTTGAATTAGAAGGGAAGGACTGTTCTTTCTCTGTGCTGGAACATCTAGTGGATGGCTGAGAAGAAAATTGATTTAGGGAACAAAATGCTGCAACCTCTGTTTTGTGCCATGTGAAAGGCTTCTATGGATTAGTGAGTGGAAACACAAAGGTAGCTTTCAGTTTAGTAGAAAGAGAGCAAAGCACAAGGGGTCTTTGTTTGCTGCCTGGTCAAGATGGCATTCAGTTAAGCCTAGGAGATGTGGGGGTAAGACATATACCCCTCCCAGCTATTACAAGGACTTCTTCAGCTTATTAGGCTTTCTTTGAAATTGCCTGAAATAAGCTGGTTGTGTGAATGAGCTTCAGTGAGCACTGTCACCAATCTGTTTGTGGTGACAAGTTCAGTTTCACATTGACAAGAGCAAAATTCCACACACTTATTTTTTTATAAAAAAAGAAAATAATAACCCACAGTGGTTCTGTGAATAGGCTCCCAGAGTTATCCATGTATTGACATTGCTTCTCTTAGCCACCATGCACCTGTAACTTGCAGCCCAGTCAAATACATGTTTACTCAAAAGTAAACCTCACTGATTTTAGCACCGTTTTCATGCAAGCAGCTATATGCATATGGTAGCAGACTTAGGGTAACTTCATAGATGTTTGTTTTTTCAGCAAGAAGTGATCTTTGCAGATCAGGCAGTGCCTTCATAATACTTTATATTACCCCAGTTTCAGAATTGTTAAGTGCAAGCACTTCACACATTCAGTAGAGTGTCATAACTGACCGAGTCACTATGTATTGGCACTTAGATTACTATCTTATCAATGGGAGAATGTATTTTCGAACTATAGCCGATAAACTATTATTTCTTGTGCCACCCGACTAACATTATGTCATAAGGTTTTAATGGGCATCAGTTCTCTTCCGTCAGATGAATCAAATATTACTGGGGGTGTGAACAGGGTCAAAAGGGAATAAAACCTTCAATTAAATTCTTTATATAATATTGTAGCATAGTGGATAGGCTGAAGGGCAGAGCACAGTTTAATGGCCCACCAATACCTTTAACAAATGTTACAAACATTGCTGAGCCAAGGTTTTGGGGTGCTTGAGGGCAAGGGACCTATCCCCTTTATTGGCAGAGTGTGGGGGTGTGTGATGCTGTGCTAGCGTAAGAGCATGTGACCCTTTAAAAAGGGGCTGACCGATTATCACTTCTCTGTAGGAGCTGCAAATTGTTATTTGACAACTACGGTGAGAATTTAGTTCCTCTGCCTTCAACACTCACCCCAGTGTGAATGGGTGACCATGTTAGACTTTCATTGATGTTGGTGGAGTACCAGATTAAATTTGGTTCCAATCTCGAAGCATCCAGGCTGCTAATGTTTTGCTGCGGTCTTTTGTATATGCACCTAGGGAATTCTTGGGATCAGGAACTGTTGAGAGTGTTTTGTGGGGGCTGGTGTAGGTTGATGGCAGTAATAGATGTGGAATTCATGTGGGTATTGAGTGAGTGGAAACCAACTTTATGGACATTGTTTTTTATGTGCTGTATTTAATTTTGTTTTTCTTTGTAAACTGCTTTGCAGTCTTATATGAAAAGTAGTATATTAATGAATGAAATGGGGGGATAGTACTATTGTACATCAGTACCAGTCATGAATATATAGCAAATTACACTTAGAAGCTTACTTGGGAGAAAGGGAGAAGGGGTACCATGTGTGAAGATAAGTGAACTTAGACTTGCTTCATATGCCTGCACAGGTATTGTGTAAGTCATGTGACAACTTCAGAAATGTGTATAGAGGGAGAGAAAAAAACAAATGTTAGGATCCCCGGCTGGCCTGTTGAGGTGACAAAAGAGGCATGTGCATGTCTGCATTTGACACGTGTGACGTTACCCATAGTTTCCTGTATGGAAGTGAAACTTATTTTTGGAAACTAATCTGGTGTAATTTAGTCCTCACAAAGAGTAGAACGCTCATGGCTTGAAAATAAATGAAAAGGTGAACAATTAACAGTACCACCCACAAGCCAGTTAGGAAAATTAAATCCACTGAATCAAATTGCTCTGGTTTTAACTGGATCAGAATAATGAACAAGGACAAGAGGAGCATAATACAATGGGTATCCCTTTTTGAGTTTGGCATCCACTCACATTAATGCTATCCAGGCAAATACAAAGGCACATGCTAGTCAAAACGTGGTGATCTGAATTTCCATGCTGGGTGGGGGCTGATAATGCTATTTTTCCATCCTGTTATGTGAATGCAGTCATTACATTGGATGTGAGGAGGCTGGGGAAGTTTGAAGTGATGTGTTGCTGTTGCAAATGTATCTAGACAGCACCTGATCAAAGCTCATTTGAAATGGATATGTATTCCTGTTTATCAGTTGAGTTTAATCTGTTTGGAGTAAGTTTTCCCACCCCTTTCTGTTGATGATAATATTAATGGTGACAGCACTGATAACTTGAAATGTAGTTGAAGGCCACCTTCTATGGCTTTTGTGTGTGTAATGGTTAATATGGCTGTAAATAGGAGATGAATGTGGCTACTTTTCTAAGTCTATTACTCAGGAGGCCTGTAAACTTGATTGGCTGTTACAATTCTAGCAGAATCATTCGATTTGAGAGCAATAGAGAGATAAGATATCCAATTACCCAAATGATTTGCAGGGCTAGCCAATGTTGTCATGGCGACGTGAGTTGGAACAAATTAAATTTTAAGCAATAAAAATAATCTTAAAGCACGTCTGGGAACAAGAACATTTGGCAGTGGCACTTACCTGAATTGAATCTTAGTTTGACATGCTGTTGTTTGACATTGATATACTGTGGGGGCTTAAACTTCTTGAAATGGCACATTGCTTCTTAATGTGTTGCTGTCACTGCCAAAATAAGAGACTAGCATATTTTAGCAGGATTTTTTCCCTTAAAGGAGGCTAATAATGCATGTGTATTGGAGGGAGGGGGAATTAAGTAATGGTTGCATATGGCAGGATATTTAGGGAACTAGCAAGTTCAAATGTCTGAATACTTAATTTCTAACTACGAAACAACTTTGCCTACAGGTCCTGAAAAGTAAATGGGCTATAGATACTACCAGCATGTTCAGCATTTCACTGTGACTATAACTCTTTGGCTGTGCGCATGTTGACTGCTTTTGTTTGACTTGAAGATACTTCTGAACATAGGAAACCTATAAAACAAACTGGCTTGGCTCAAGTGAGCACAGTGCATGCGAGTAAGGCATGCCCATTGGGAAGTTGCTACTGCTTCCTTTCTTGCCTTAAAGCCTCTCCCTTGCCTTCTGGAGCCAGTCTTAGTGGGAACTTGCATATACAGGAATTGGCTATTTATTCCTCTCCCAACCCAGCAACTGGAAACACTCCTCACTTGGTATCTTTTGCTCCAAATCATTGTGTCTCAATATTTTTTTTTAAGTTCAGAAAAGAGACTTTGAAAAATGGGAGTATTTCAGATAATAAAGAACAGCAATCGAAGTGTGTTCCAATTGCACAAAAGGCTCCCGTTTCCTTATTAATGTTCTATCAGGCTGAATCCTGGCTTGCAATGCTTTTTTTTAAAAGAGAAAAAAAAATCTAAGAACACCCTATAAAGAGCTTTTATCCTCATGTCTGTTAGACAGATGGAGACTAAAATTGGTCTGAGGTCAAGCCATTTGCTGCATACTCGCTGCCTTCGATTTTCCTCACCACAGATCATCTCAAATGATTCAGTAATGACCAAAAGTGCAGCCTTGACCTTTATTCCCTGGTGGATTACTGTTACACAGTGTAAATGGCAAGAAGAACATTTTGTTCATTCAGATGGAGTTTTCATGTCTATTTTGCCGGGTCTTCTATAGCACAAGCAGAGCATTAAGTCCAGTTGGTTGCTGGTTCTGTGGCAAGCCTGAATGTATCATTTCAATTAGGTGATAATAGTGTCCTTTTTAATGATGATTTCTTTTTCCAATACCCTAGAGGGTCATACTGTATTTTTAAAATGATTGCTTTTATATGTACTTCTAGTAAAGAATTAACTCTTATGTTGGTGAACATTGGGGTTCTAACTGTCATTATTAGGTGTCGCTAAAATGTTTCTGAATGTGTTCTATTGCCTTTTTCCTCATAGTTTTTCTTCTAAGTGTTTTCTAAGATGTAATTCCAGCTATGCATTACTTGCATGCAAGACACAATCAAGTACAGCCCAGAATGAGGTGGCACTTTTAGCCCTGCCCTTATGCCAGGAGATCTTTAACAACTGTGCATTGCATGATTGCAACCAAGTGATACAGTTGCACAGAGCCTCTGAATGCCAATGGGAGCTACCACATTGGACTCTTCATATAGGCCACTGCATGCTATGCATGGTTGATTGTTGGGTGTGTGTTTTTATTTTTAAAAAACCACCTGGTGTCAGAGGTGTGATTTAAACATAGGACTGCTCCAGTCTGTACCCTTGTTATGCCTTCACATGAGTAACATATACATAGAGCTTCTGTTTTCAGCAGATGCACTATTTAGCAACTGGATTTATTTGGAGATTATAAAGATTCTTATAGGAGTTAAAAGACTGCTTCCTGGATAAGCAGGTGAGGTTTAGCCTTGTGGCAAGTGCTAGATTGTGGGGTGTTTTGTTTTTGTTTGTTCAAGGATGGTCAGAAGTCTTACCGCATGTTGTGGTGAGTCAGACAAAATGTTCATTGGAGCAGGAGAAACTAGTTGATATCCCCATGAGTAAGACCTAATAAACGGCTGCAGCTGATTGATCTTATAAAATTAAGTAAGGCACAATAGTTGTGGAGCAGAAGTAAAATAATGATAATAATTAGACTTGGTTGTTGGTTTGCATCTGTCTTTCTTGGGAGACAATGGAGGAGCGTCAAGTTGTTGGAAGGTTGCAGCACCTGTTGTAGACACCAGTATGGGAGAGACATGTTTTGTTGCAGCTGGGGAAGATGGTGTCCGGTTGTGCTGGTGTACCATGGCAATTCTTCTCTCTGCGTTCCTCCTCTGGCCACTGCTATGGCTGCATGACCTGACTGTCTCCAGGCATTGCGGTCGTCTGCCAGAGATTCCCACATGGCAGTGTTGATGTTGCCAACCTTCACATCATGTTTGCAGACATCTTTGTAATACAGAGGTGGTCTGCCAATGGGCCTGGTACTTGAAGCCAGCTCCCTGTAGAGCATGTCCTTGGAGATTCTGCCATCTTCCATTCTGTGTACATGACCAAGCCAGCAGAGATGTTGGCTTGGCAATTAGACTAGCTCTTATTAAATTCTCTCTCTTTGCATTTCATGCTTTTGCTGATGTGCCAGAATGTGGAAGGAAAAGGTCATGAAGTTTTGAGGCAGCTATGAACTTGAAAGACGCAGAGGTAACAGGAAGTGTGACTTGCGCGTTTCTTCAGTGGTTGCTTCCCCTCAGATGATATGCAAAACTTACTCCCACATACTTTCAGTACATTGCTTAGTTGTGTGCCACCCCCACAATGCTGCCTGCTTCAGTTCCTCCTTTCCCTACTTTCATGTGTAAATAAAAATTGGTCCCAAATGAGCAATTTGATATGTAATCACCACGGGCCAGCACTGCTTCTAATCCAAGGCAAACTCCAGTTTGGGTTTTGCAGCTAAAAGATTGCGCAACAGATCCCACAGCTAGATTGACCTCTTGGAAATTGCTTCCTAAGTTCCCAAGTTTAGGTTTGTTTTCAAATGATTTCAGCATACAGAGGTGCCGAGTTGTGCCCCAGATTTATTTATTGGGGGGGGTAATTATGTTACCCGTGTGTGTGTGTGTGTGATGCTGATGCCTGTGCCTTCCAAGGCTACAATTCTATGATTCTGTGACTTTTGCACACGCTTGCCAGTAGGTGTGAAAAACAACCCAAAGGGATGTGTGGGGAAATATTTGCAATATGTGCCATGCACACTGTTGTTTATAAATAGCTAACAGCCATGCTGATCTGAAGTTCTCTCCAAGGTAGTTGAGCAATTACAAGCAAAGTGTTGTGTTCAAGGAGGAGAAAGTGCATGAAGGAAATGTTTTTTAGCCTCATGAGAAGTGGCTGTCAGATGTTGCATTGTAATTATGCAACAAAGATTTTATTAAGGTGTTTTAGAAATTTCATACTTTCATAAGACCTATGAATGCATGCTCCATAATATACACATTTTGCTTCTTCACTAGCTGGGGATGAGAGTTCGATGATTTTAAGGTGGGTGGAAGGTAGATCAGGATCTACAGTCATACCTGGGAAGTGGAACGGAATCCATTCCGGAAGTCTGTTCAACTTCCAAAACGTTCGGAAACCAAGGCGCGGCTTTCAATTGGTTTCCAGAAATAGCAGAAACCGCGCCGGACGTTTGGCTTTCCCAAAAAAGTTTGAAAACTGGAACACTCACTTCTGGTTTTAGATAATTCGGAAGCCGGAACGTTCACCTCTCAAGGCGTTCGGGAGCTGAGGTACAACTGTACTGATAGATCTCTGAGCTGTTTCCAGGAAATCTTCAATTTTTTGCTCCCAATTGTTTAATAATGACAAAAAAAATGATTCCCCAACCCACATGCTTGCTGAATCTAGTTAAAAACAAGCTAGATCCCACAAACTTGAAATCTGCACACCACTCATTTAAGTTTGAACTTCAAGAGAGCTTTTATCACCTTGAGAAGAGAGGAAAACATAAATTCATGAGTTGGGTGAATGGGACTAGATTTTGTCACCCACATGCCTGTTCTGGCCGAGAGAATAAGTTTTATTGTGTCCCTACCCCCTCTCGTCTTCTAAAAACATATTTCGCTGCTTACATCAGGATAACCAGCTGGAGGTAAAAGAGCTTTTAATGGTGAGCTGCTTAATCACCATAACTGAGTTGCATTTTATGACAGTGAGAAAATCCAGTTCTCTCTGCATCCCTCCATTTCCTGTCCAGGCAGAATGTCTCCCACGTTTCAGGAAGTGCAGCCTGTTTCCTTTGGACTTCTTTTTATCACTTTAGGGCTTGGCTGTCTAGGCAAAGAAAGTCCTCCTTCGTTGAGAGTTTACAAGGATAAAATTATGGAGATTGGCGCATATGTTGATGAGAAGCTGTTTGCGATAGGAAAACATCCTGATTTTGGCGTTCAAACCCCCCAGAATGGAGGGTGAGACTTCTCAGATGTTTGTCTTGGATTTGTTGTTTGTTGCTGCTAATGTACTACAGGGATCATTGGTTACGAAGAACATCTGTGATTCATTTTTCAAGATTTAAGAATCTGTTGTCAAACGGGAATCAAATTTTGCCAATCTTCTTCACACGCAAGATCGTGCTTGGTCTGTGCATGTAGCAGAATGAAGTACCACTGTTGAATGTGTCTTGAGCTCCCTGCTAGCACAGCAGGCAGAGGGTTGGTCTGGTGTTCAAACATGGCCCTCCAAACTTTTATGCTGGGTCCTTGAGACTCTCCCGCGGGCCATGACCTGGCTGGAGTATATCCTTGAACTGTGATAATGATTCTTCCTTTGCCTGGTAGGAGTCTGGAGGTATGTTCATAGAAAGCTCTTGCATTTTTTGCATGACTGGAGTGTAACGGACTGTACATAACTAAATGTCATATCCAATGCTCTGCCAACTTTTGCATTTGGTCCCACTTACCACTGCTGTGGGCTGAAAGGGGTTCCTCACCTAGGTTTAGGAGGTCATTCTCTTCCATATGGGCTATTTTTGTGTGTGGGGAAAAAACATTTTAAACTGGGGTGCATTAAAAAGAAGGCTCCTTGGCCTGTTTGTGCAGTGCCACCTCAGGACACTGCTACCTCATTCTGCTGGTGGCAAGCTTCATTGTTAAGCAAAAGAATGGATTTGTGTGTGTGTGCTACCCAACAGCAGTTGTAGGAAGCCAGCCAAGAGAGCGCATGCACCCTCCCTCTCTTCTGAGCTCTTAACTGCTCCACTTGTCAGGCGAGGAGCAAGGGTGGTCCAGTGCCAGCACTGGGCTTTGAGGGTAAAATAAAATAAAATATAAATAGCACCAGGTGCCAAGTGACACCTTCCTCTCTAGCACTGTTGGACAAATGTCTTCTTGCATTCATCGTAGTTTCACACTTAAGACGGTAACACACACAAAAAGCCCAGGAAAGGTTTGCTTCTCAGAGGGCATAAATATAATTCCCAAGTGCTGCAAATACTCTGAGAAAGTGCTACAAGTTTCTCCACATTGTGCAGACATACTATAGATTATTAACCAAAGTTTCCAGTTTGAACTTGGAAACACGTTAACTTTACACATAGTTTAAATATCCACTAACGAAAAACCAGTGACCTATAGAAACTTAGAAATTTAGGGAAGGGTTTGTTTAAAAAGGGTATCACACATTTTATCACACATTAGTAATCTGGTTAAATATCTTTGTTTCCTGCTGCAGAGCGTGTAGGAAAAATTGGGTGCAAATTCAATAATGGCCATTTTTGAACTTATTTAAAAGTTCTTCTAAGTTGTGTGGGTAGGTGGGGGGGGGAGAAGCACTCAAGAACTAACATTTGACATAAGACAAGTACTGGTACTCGCAGCTAGCTACATTTTAGGTCAAAACACTTTTCATTTAATAAGAAGAACTTGCAGACACAGAGTCAGAAGTGACAAAACGACTGCAGTCTTTAACTGCATATTGCACAATGCAGCTGAATTCCTTCATGTTGATTTTCCTGACGCTTCAAAAAGGAGGGCAGCACTTGAGTCTGGGGGCCTGGCAAACCTGTCATTTGCAAATAAATCAAAAGGCCATCATTGCTGATAGCAAGGTCTAATGACTGCAGTTTCTGTGTACTCTTTGATAGGCCCCACACTCAAGCCTGCTATTAAAAATGAATGCATTCAAGAGGCCTTGCATTAAGAATATAAACAATTAAGGGCACTTGAGCTGCTCCACAGAAAGCTGCTGCCATACAAATGCGAGCGAGGGCTTTCATGTGCGGCACCGACCTCTGCAATCTGCTTTGCTAGGGAGCCAAGAGAACATGGGCAATTAGGGTTGATGTATCTGCAAGGCCTTCCTTCTTTAATCCCTCATTGTTTTAACTGTCCTCTATATTTGCAGATCAGAACTCAAAAGATAAGCTGCGTCAAACTGGTGACAGCTCAGAAGTCATGAATACTACATGAACTTTAGAGTCTGTGACAGGCCTTCCAGAGATTTAATACCATATATATTTTATGGCCCATATATGAAATATGGCTTATATTTTGATTGGCTGACTGGTTTTGGTTTGCTCCATCCTTTTTATTGTTCTTTTTAAAAAGTTGAATTCTGACTTCAGAGTATTTGTGGAATATGGTTTTTTCTGTTTTTTGTTTTTTTTAAATTTATGCGAGCTTGTGGGTTGTGTGTCGAATTAAAGTCTGGAGTAGTTTGGCTTTCTGGTGAAGTTAACTGAACTAGCACCCTTCAGATGGTAGGCAGAGGATAGGATGCTTAAAAGTTTCCTTTTAAGTACAGTGGTACCTCTAGTTACGGACTCGATCTGTTCGGTGGTGCTGTTCGCACCCCAAAAAGTCTGTAACTAGAGTGCCGCTCCTGCGCACGTGCAGGGTGCGATAGAGTGCTTCTGTGCACGCAGCAAAACCCAGAAGTATACACTTCTGGGTTTGCCGCTTTCGCAAGCCGAAAAGATGCAACATGAACCTAACGCAACATGAGGTATGACTGTATGCTAATTGAACACTGCAGATGAAGACAGTAGCATAGGAATGAGAAGAGTATTCAGTTGTTTCCACTAAACAGGAACACAATACAAGAATACACTCCTACTTGAATCTAGGTAGGACTGTGGCTTCCAGTTGGTGGCAGGAGCACGTCTGAGCACACAATCTCCTTCTTCTGGTGGCTTTGTGGAAGTGAAGGTGGTCATACCCAGCTTATTTGTCGCCTCATAGAGGCCTTCAGTAAACTGAGGGACATCAATGCCACTGGTTCCTCAGAATAGCCTCAAGCAAATGAGGAAAGTTGAAGTATGATATGGTAGGCCTCACATCATATGCTATAAAGCAAGATGGCCAGTCCATAGCCTCCAATTCTTCTAACCTAAATTTGGGGCACACCCTCCCCCCGGTGTGCTGCTGGTCATCTGCTCAAGCCAACTTTCGCCTCCCCATGTGACCTTACCACCACCACCAGAGCAGCGCACGGAAACACTGTTTACCTTCCTGCCGGTGCTGTACCTATTTATCTACTTGCACTTTTTGGCATGCTTTCGAACTGCTAGGCTGGCAGGTGCTGGGACTGAGCAACAGGAGCTCACCCCGTCACAGGGATTTGAACTGCCAACCTTCTGATCGGCAAGCCCTAGAGGCTCAGTGGTTTAGACCACGGCGCCACCCGCATCTCTTAGCAGCATCTTTTAGGAGGGATTAAGAGCTGGCAGAACACAACCTCATTATCTGGGTCATCCCTCATTACTCAAAAGTCATAAATGTGAAGACAAGATTGTTAGCAACCTTGAATGGTATAGTAAATAAGGAATGGTCTAATTTTTCAAAATAAATAAAATGAAGTGCAGAAATTATGCAAAGGGGGTCACAGAGAGGCATTTGTGTGTGTGTAAAATCTCTTCCCTCCAATAAGGTTTAGCATGGTGACATAAGAATGTACATCAGAGTTCTGTGCTTAACTTGGAATAAAAGTAATATTTTTTTACTAGCCTTGTTGGTACCTTTGTGCACGTACAAATGTTGTGGGGTAAATATTACTGTTCCTTGGTGTGTTCACTCAAGGTTTTCCATCTCTTTAGTTTAAATTGTGATAAGATCTGATACATACGGATGGCATCTATGTTAAATATTTAGAAGTGATTCAGACATAGAGGTGTGAAGGCCTTGGAGAAGTGTGCAGTTATCCAACCTAGATAATTTTTAATCCAGGTGAATATTGTGTATCTTTGAATTCCAGGTGAGCTAGGTTTCTGTTTCTCCAAAGAGACCCTTTGCATTGTTGTCATTCACTCTTCCCCATTCTCAAGGAATCATCCGTATCCTACACCCCTCTGCTTTATCTTAACCAGAGTTGAGGTGCTGAAACTGAACTAGCAATTTCCCTGAACTGAGAATTTGAGTACAACCTAGCCTCAAACTAAGCCAAAAACAATTCCCATACATTTCAGCCATAATGTCATAGGCGCATAGGAAGCTGCCTTTGTACTAAATCATACTTTTGCTCCATCTAGCTCAGAAATCAGCACTGTCTGGCTGTGGTTTTCCAGGATGTAGTGGCAAGCGACGTTCTCAGCACTCTCTGGACATCCCGGGGATTGTACCTGGAACTTTCTGTGTACAAAGCAGATGTTCTTTATCGGGGTGGCCAACTCCCAAGAGACTGTGTGCTGAACTCACAGAGTTCGGGTCAAAGTTGTTGAGATTTTTTAGGAAGGAGGAAGGTTCATTTTTTGGGGGGGGGGTTCGGGTCAAAGCTGATGAGCTTTTTCAGGGAGGAGGTAAAATGTTGAGCTTTTTTTAGGGGAGCCACAGTTGTTCATCTTCTTTGGGGGGAGCCAGTGATCTACCAGTGATCCACTGCAGAGGTCCAGTGATCTACTGGTAGATCATGATCTATCTGTTGGACATGCCTACTCTATATAACTGAGTTATAGAACTGACCATTCCACTTAGACTGGCTTCTTTCCATGTTAATCTAAAGTCTAATCTAGTACCTTCTAGGTCATGATGGTGCTTGACTTCAGATAAGGAAACCCCTCCTATGGATAAGAGTTTATTGGAAAATAGTGCTTAATTGATAAAGATACTTGCTACTAAAATCTTGTTCTTTCCTTAAGTTATCTAGACTTTGATCAGATGGTTGCCTCAACCACCACCCTAGTATTTTGAAGATGCTCTTGTGGCAAATGTTTTCATATCCTATTCTGTGTGGCCAATAACATGGAAGAACAATGGATTTGTCCGTCTAAAGGGATTTAGCTCATGCTGGATTTTAACCAATGCTTTACTTGCTAATGAGCTACTTATGAAGAACAGATTTGTGCTCTAATATATGTAGATATGAGGTACTGGAGGCATTAACAGATGTCCTTCAACAGACTGAAACCTGCTCTGATTAATCACATACACTCTAGACTCCACCTAATGCTGGCCTACTTTAAATGTTCCTAATATTTGTACTTAATATGATTTTTGTAAATGAACTAATATATAATGGCATGTTTTAATCTAAATATTTACTTTTCTCTATAGACAGAAATTGCCAAGAGATTGAATACAATCTGTGCACAAGTCATCCCATTTTTGTCTCAAGAAGTAAGTAAAATTGTTCAGCTGTTAAAAAGTGAAATTATGTTGCATCTTTGTTTTTAAATTAGCTAGTTTTTAAGATGTTAATTTTATCAAAATTCACAAAAGTGAGGAACATCTGTTGTAGCTGAAGAACGCAAGCCCCCTGTTAATTTGGAATAGCAGATGAGAGAAGAGGCACACCAACTATATAACTGGTTGAAATAGCTCAGTCACAAAATTATTCTTTCTAAGGCAGCTAACCATTTGCTAATTTCTGTGTAAATAAAAATGTCGGCGTTTAATGATAGCACGCTATACAAATTGAGTGGCATTTGTGAAATACAGTTCCTAGAAAAGTCTAATTATTATTATTATAGAAAGAGAATTCTGATACTATATTCATGCATAATTATAATGGAGACACAAAAGAGGTATGACCATGTTTCTGGGAAGTTTGTTGAATTGTCATGGAAAACCCCTTTTTACTTTGCATGTAGGATTGTGCTATCTGACATAGTGGAGACCATAGAGGCTGGAATTGTTCAATCCTATTCTCTTTACATATTTGATTGGTGGGCAGGAATGTAATAGTTATGCTTGGGCACTGGACACTAGTCTAGTGCTGCAGGCTCTGTTGTTGAGCAAGCAGTTGCTGCTGCTGTTCCTGAATACAGCTTGTAGATTACAACCACATGGTCACCAAATATTTCTGAAACCACACAATTATAATGTGTGTGTGATTAAAGATGTCGCATCCTGGAAGTGTTTATCAAAGTTGGTTGTAAGGTTCTTCCTCTCCTTGGCTGAGTTTGCATGTCACAATCAGCCTGGGTTGCTAGCTTATTGTGGTGTATTTGGGAATGAGCATTATGCTGCTTGCTTACTCCCACTTTACTCCTTCTCTGGCATGAATGGGAGAAACTAACCAGGAAACTGCAATTAAGTGTGCCTCTCTGTGACATCTGGATGTAGGATGCTGGCTTGTTGCGCCCTGACAAGCCAGGATTGCTTGCCAACCTTAAACATGGTTTTTGTTGCCTTATGAGGCCAAGCTTAACTGCAGTTTCCTGGCTTGTGAAGCAAGAGTATGAATTAAGGCACCACTTGTTCCTGGAAAACCAGGAACCTAGGCTGATTGTGACATGTGAATTTGGCTTCTTGACCATTTATTTATTTACGGTGAACAGAGGGTATATGAAAACTGTTGGTCTCACTTACTGAAGTGTTGTAATAAGAAACCCCCTGATTTTAAGAAAAATCAAAAGACATGTGCTTGCCTTTTCAAGTCTCATCCTTTCCTCTTTCTGCACAGACTGCCCATATATACTAGCTTGCAGGGTGGCTTAGAAATACTCTGCCCCTTGATAAAATGCCACTTTGTTCCAGCTTAGTTCAGTTAGGTTGGTTCTAACAATGGGAATGATATGTTTGTCTTTCCAGCATCAGCAACAAGTTGCTCAAGCAGTAGAACGTGCCAAACAAGTGACCATGGCTGAGCTGAATGCCATCATCGGGGTACGTGGCCTGCCAGGTCTACCTCCTACAGTGTGTATAACCAGCTTTCCTTTCTTATTGCATTGGTAGTTTTTGATGTGTTAAATGTTTGAATTGTAATAGTTTTGATACTTAACGCTAGTTCTTCAGCATTATTTGTCTTGGCACCTTTATCTCTTCACAATCTGGTAGAATTACTGAAAGCATAATATTGCCTGCCTGGGCCTATGTATTTTGCCCCATATTTCTAGATTTCTGCTATTGCTCTGTCTAGTTTGGAATATGGGAATTAATGGGCTGCAAAAGCTTTCTCTTCTGAGTCTGCATCCAATATACTGAGGTTTATTCATAGTGTATGTGTCTGAGTTTTAGTTGCAAGTAACTTAACTGAGCGGAGTGGGGAGTGTCATGGTCCCCCATTTTCTACGCACTGCAGACTGTACTGGTTGAGGCAAAAGATGAAGAGTGGGTGACACTTTCCCCCTTTTTTTAAGCCTGAAAGACAAACTTTTGTAAAATTCCCTCTATTGAAATCAACTGAAGGGGGAATTAACTAAACCAGGCATGTCCAACCGAGTAGGGTGTGATCTACAATCCAATATCAAAAACTGGCAGTGATCTACCACCTTCCAAAGTAATGTTAGTTAGTTAGTTAAATCTATCATCTATCTATCTTTATTTCACAGATACAGTAGTTATGTTTGGATATCATCACGACAGATCCAAATAGTTTTGTTAGATGGACAAGGAACTAAACAAATGAGAAAAGTCAAACTATATTTTTATATTAGTTTACACAGATCTGAGGAGCCAGTCAGAGTGCGCTGGGCTTCTCCATCTTTCCCCTACTGTTGCTTTAAATCACAGCTGACTTCCTGTCAGCATCCCCACGCACTTCCTCCACCTTGTCTTTCCCCTACTGTTGCGCTAAAGCCTTTCCCTCACTCAAACTCATGGAGCGCTAAGGGGACTTTCCCCATGTGTTTTGTTCTTCACCTTCCTCGCTGGTGAGCAAGCGGGTGAGCAGGTGTGGAGCTTTTTGTTTCCTGCCTCCACCATGTCCCCCTCACCCCACTGCCAGAGCTCTAATGCCTGAGAGCGCAGAGCGGGTGGCGGGGAAGACTCAGGCTTGCACGAGATTGGTGGCAGCAGCGGCTGCTGCTGTGTCCAAGACTGCAGAGAAAGGCTTTTCTTTCTCAGCCTGCAATCGACCAGTATCTGTCCCAGGATCTCCAAGTCAATCGATGTCTTGGACATGCCTGAACTAAAGCATCGCCAAGTTTGTGTAGGTGATGAGCCTGCTCCACAGGCCCATTCATGCAGCTGTCCCACATCCACACACCCCATGAAACACCCCATTTGTGGGGATACAGCAATGATACTACCAATGGCAGGTCCAAACTGTGGAACTTTCTGCAGGAGTGGTCCATAGCAGACATGCCCACTGACCAGCAACTCTGAGGAATAGGCTTGCTCTGTAACCTATTTTGCATTATTGAAGTTCACGAGCCATGACTTCATTTCCTAAGCCCTGCTGCCATACTCTAGAAATATCACTAATCTTTACTGCCCTTCTACAGTAAGCAAAAGGAGCAGAAACAAGAAGCGGTCCTCCTTCTTCTTCTGATTTTATTCATACGCGAGTGCTTGAGCAGATTCAAATTATTCATTTATCAATTTATGTTAATTGCTTGTGAGAAGATGCCCTGCTGGTCTTTAGAGTTCCCTCAGACACTTTGTAATGATAATTAGACATGCTCCTGTATGGATTAACAGTGCCATAGTCCAATGACGTCTACAGACAATGGAACCAGTTAATCCATCTGTGCTTAAAATTACATCCCAACTGGAGATGGAAAAAAACATAAGAGGGAGGGAGGATTAAAAGAATGAGTCTCAGCTTGAAAACTCTCCTTTTATCAGTTTCTCAATTGTAGATCTGCTGTCGCTTTGCCTGTGGTAAGCTATTGGCAGTCAATTAGGTGAAATAAACGGGGAGGGTGACCTTCATTTCCTTTTAATAGCTATTCCTCCCTGCAATGGGGAGTGTCAGTGGATTTTCAGCTTAAATTTTATTCAAGCTGCTTTATTACACTTGACAGATTAGCTTTGCATAAACATACCCCCCTTTTGAACCGAATCCTTGTTTCCCCCCCTCCCATCCAATCAACTACTTAAAAAAATAATTAAGTCTCTATTTGTCTGATGTCTGAACAGACCCTGCTTGTCTAATAAATTCTTAATTTGAAAGTTCAGCTCAAAAGTTCATCTACCTAGTGTCTCAATCTCTGTGTTTGTGTGTGTGTGTGTGTGTGTGTGTGTGTGTGTGTACATTGATTTAACAAACACCTCTGGTTAATGGGCACATTTTAAATAGTGGTATCAAGTATACTTTCTGAGCTTCGTAGCAGACACAGAACAGTGCAAATACATTTCTTTCTTCTTCATCATCATCTTAGAAACCTTTTGACATTGGACCATGAAGCTTTTGTGGCATGTCTGGCTGGGTTTGTCTTTTGCTACAAAGTGCCTGTCTACCTTGAGAAGGGCGTACAGCTCTGACCCAAGCTCATTCTTTTACAAACTCCATTCAATTGAATACTAGTCGCACACTGCACTGAGTTCCTGCTTTGCAGCTCCAGCATAACATTTATTGACAGTGTGTTGTTAAAGGACTCTGACTACCATTCTTTAGCTTAATATGCTAACATAGTTTTAATCTAGGAACATTTGCTATTTTTCTAAGTCCTCCAGCAGCTGTAATTTTGCTGGATGTGCAGTGCAATTCTGTGCATGTTTACTTGGAAATAAGCTCTGCTGATTTCTGTGTCGCTTACTCCCGAGTAAGTGTGTATAGGATTGCAGCCTTGAGGTATGAACATGTCACTGCCAGCAGAAATAAACTTCAGTTCTCAGAGAGTATTCATAAATACTACATTCATCCCTATCTAGCACAGTCAAACTCCCACATTCCACCCTTTCCCCCAATCTCAGCTTCTTGCATAGCTGATCTGACAATTCTATTATAGCCTGAAGAACAGTTGTGTGTGTGCTTGTGTGTGTATGCACACACACACACACTGGAAACCTCACTATTTTCCCCCCTCCATGTTTCCACCAAGTTGGTCCAAGAAGAGATCATCTCTCCCTTTGCCACATTTGTATACATCAATAATTATCCTATGCTGCACAATAAGTTTCATGCTCTGACATATGCTTGATTTGTTTGAAAGGGATTGTGTGCACTCTGGAAAATTGGAGTAGCATAAAATTGGGATGACAATTCAGTGGACCTTTGCTCCTCTTCATTGAACATGCACTGTGTCAGCCTGTCTCCCCAGAGGGGAGGAGGCATCAGGAGCCTGTCTGTTCCTACAAGCAGCAGCTGCACTGAAAGTAAACGTGGCCCAGTTTGATAGCAGCTGTCAGTATTGTTCAGAGACCCAACTTAGTGTAAAAAACAATAGCGGGGGGGGGGGGGCAGGCAGGGGCGCATGCTCTTAAACTGCAGCGTCTTTCAAGCTAATAAAAGAAATAGTAATTTAACGGTTTAGAGGTCTATTGTGAGCGTGAAAGATCATGAAAGACTTCTTTTTAAAATGCAAATTAAGGCTGGTGCATTCTCCAACATTTAGGAGCACAATCAAGTAGCCAGTGGCTTAACGGTGTTAAAGAGGTTTCTGTTCTGTGAAAGTAGAAGCAGCAGAGGGGAAGGAGAAGGAGGAGCTTGGGTGGAAAGTTACCTATATTCCTAATAGGTGTTCTGTAAAGCGTTTACTGTGCATAGAGTCTGCAAACTTTATGCTTCTTGACTTAAGAAATACGCTGCGCTCCTTCCCAGGAGATAATGGTGCCAAATCATTGCACATTAATGGAGCAGTAGAAGTAAGGGGAGGGGGGAGGGTTAGTGGGAAACAAACTTTTGAAATGAAAAAGCAGGCCGGGTCAGAGAGGCAGGCACATATAATGTGTGTTGTGGGGAGGAGAGATACTAGGGGGAAGGAACAAAAGGAGCCCTCTATAAAAGAGAACCAGACATCTGTCTCTGCGTATTGGTCCTGTCCGAATAGTACAATGTAATAGTCCTCTTCAGGCATTTATTTTCAAACTCCCTCCAATTGAAGAAAGTGCAGTGGCCACTCCCCCTGCCCCCAGCCAAGGCACAGTCAGCATTAGCCTGAAGGGGGATGCCTTACTCATGTGTAGGGTTTTAAAAATAGAGATGGGAACCATTATGGCATCCTTATTTTCAGTATTTAAGCATGGTGTAGTTTTGTTTCATTTGGGGGTTTTTTTGCCTTGTAGTGAAGAGAATCTAGATTATGGCATGAAGGGCTTAAATGGATTATCTTGGTATAATTTGAAGGGATTGGAAGAAGACAGTTAAGCAACAAGCTGGAAAATTAAAAGTTGTGCACGCCAGGAAATCTGAATGACACTGGTAGCAAATAAAATCACTTTACAAGATTGGTTCAGATTGGAAAAAATTCTGTTTAAAAAATACTGCCACCTTGATGAATTATAGAAACATACCTAAGAGTGCAACACTCACAAGAAACAGGCAGCCTATGAGAGTGTTTTTAGTTTAGCTTGTTCAGAAAGCATTTAATACTTGCGAGGTGTTGGGTTTCCTCCCTCCTCCTCCTCTCTGAGGTGTGCTGCTAATGGTTCTGTGAAATGTATCTCTTGGACTGACAGCACTTGTGAGACAGATTGAGTTGTCAGCCTCCAAAGGGCTTTCCATCATTGCATGAGGTGATTGACTAAAGGATTAGCAAGATGCCGGATTATTTTTCCTCTGCTTGGCTGTGGTTGCCAGCTATCTCTGAGATTGTAGTGTGTGAAGCTTAAGGGGATGAGGTTAACCTCTTGAGGGTGTATTATGAGCATGTAGTTAATCTTTAGAAAGCCTATAAATAACTAGGATGCATGTTTTTGTTGTAAAATAGAAATGTGGGCGCAAAGAGAAGTGAACTCAAAAGTGTAATTCTAGAACAGCTTAGCCTTGCATGATTTTTGGAATTGTCTGCGCTGTGTGTTTAGTGTTGAGTGCTGTATTAGGGTTTGGGTGGGGTTGGTTGAGGGTATGGGAAGATAACAAGCTTCTGTTAGGGGGATAGATGGAACAAGAGATTAAATCTTTAGTGTATATAGTGAGGCTTCCATTGGCTGAGACTCAGAACAAAATATAGGATGTCTTTTGGGGGAACTACATTTCTGAAGTATGCAAAAAACCTGAATTTAGTGTGTTTCTGGGTGGGGGGGAATACTCTGCTGTTACCCCTTAGCCCCCTTTTAAATGTGGACCTATGTTTATCACATCACAGATAAAGCTGTACCTCATGATGGATGATGTGAGTGTGAGGTTTTTTAAAAGAAAAAGTTGTGAAGTACTTTACCAGGCAGATTTTTGGACTGGAGTACAGACACATGAGAAATTCATCCAGGCAGCTAAAAAGCCTGCCACGCATTTTGCACCAGAGTTTCCATTCCACCCTCGTTCCCAAGTATTTCCTAATTTGTTTTCAAACATATGGTACTGTGTTCCTATTCCCTGTTCCAGCCCTTTTTCCAAGAAATGAAAGTTTCAGATGCATTTGTTGTAAATTTTGTAAATCTGGTTTGCTAAACATACTTGACAACATATACGGTGAAGTGCTGGTTTCCTTCCTTGGTTTTCCTATCCTTTTCCCACAGAAGAGAACTTTTTTTTGGGGGGGTGGAGATCCCCTGAAGACTTAAGCCCTGCCCGACTCCAAGAGTCATTCTGGTTCCAACGCAGTAAAAAGCAAACATTTAGTTATGAATGTTTAACTTAGTTACTGTTTCTTAATTCTAGCCAAATGAACTGGTATACTGAGACCCTTTAGGCTGTGTCTGTTGTCTGTCAATGGTGACAGCCACAGAGAGAGACCCATTAGCAGTCTAGGTTACGTGATCCCTCTTTGGTTTTGCTGGTTGGAAGCATGTCATGGCTAAAATTGTGTTTCACTTTAGTAGTTGTAGCTGGTGATCTCTGAAATGTAACTTAAAGGTAACTTGACTAAATTACTGTTAAGCTTGAAAATTTAAAGGAAGGCATTATTCACACACACACACACACACACACACACTATTTTTGCTCCTTGCCTGGAATTGGGCTTTGTTTGGAAAAGCAAATCTGCACCCCACCTGTTGCTTTACCTGCAACAGTGACTCTAGAGGGAGGGAACAGGAGACTGAAATGTGTGTGAGAATTTTGCAGTTCCACTTCCTTGCCCATCCCACTGACCGCGCCCTAACTCAAACCTGACAAGTCTGTAGTTGCATATAAACTAAGTGTATGGCCCAATTTTATTTTATTTTTAAAATGTAACTTAATCATGTGACTCTTACTTAATTGACTGACTTTTAGCTCTGTAAAAAAAATGAATAATGGCTATGAAAAAGAAGTACATTTAGCCTTTGAGATTTATCCATGCTTCATCACAGAGGCAGTCTCTCCTTTGTTTGAAAAAAAAGAGGCATGCCTCGTAGGAAGATGCCATCTGCAACCAACATTTTTACAAGAGCCTGTCATGTTTGTAGACCAACCAGTTAATCAAATTACCGTATTTTTTGCACCATAACACTCACTTTTTTCCTCCTAGAAAGTAAGGGGAAATGTCTGTGCGTGTTATGGAGCGAATGCCTGTGGGTGGCGGGGGGATCTGCAGCAGCCATGAGCAGAGGATCTATGGTTCCCCTTCCTTCCCTCCTCCGTGGTTACAAAGCATGGATCCACATGGATCCTCAGGATTTTTGCATTGGGCTACTCCAAACTCACTGTCAGATCACGTGTCTGTGGCCACAGCATGAACCACAAAAATCATATATCCACTATTTCGTTTAGAATATTTTTTTTCTTGTTTTCCTCCTCTAAAAACTACGTGCGTGTTATGGTCTGGTGCGTGTTATAGAGCGAAAAATCCGGTAGTTCCATTTAAACGTTTCAACCCCAGTGTAAAAGTATATATCAGGCATGGTCAGACTTGGCCCTCCAGATGTTTTGGGACTACAATTCCCATTATTCCTGACCACCGGTCCTGTTAGCTAGGGAAGATGGGAGTTGTAGTCCCAAAACATCTGGCGGGCCGAGTTTGGCCATGCCTGGTGTACATAAGACTAGCACTGCCAAAAAATATATATATGAGGAAGTAATGCAGTCCTTAGCCATGGTTGTGCTTTGCTTCTTGACAAGTGTGCACCTCATTTAAGGCATCATTCCACTCCCCTTTTCATTACTGGCATCTTTCTACTTAATGATGAACTTGCAGCATTGCAGTTGCTGTAGGCACAATGTTAAATTTGAAGACTAAATGGGAGAAGAGCACTACCTATTAACATCCTTGATAATGAGGAAAAAATGGACCCAGTTTTTAAGATGGAATGCTGGAGGGGTGGGGAGAAGGGAGACGGAGCTCATTGTTAGAGAAGATGTTTTGCATTCAGAAGGTTTCTTGTTCCGCCTCTGGAATCTCCAATGGAAAAGGATCAATGATAGGTGATGGAAAAGAGTTCGCAAAGCCTGAGACTCTGGAGAACTGTTGCCAGCCAGAGTGGGCAATACTAAGCTAAATGCAGCCCTGTTCAGGGAAGTTTTTAACATTTAACGCTGTATTGTTTTTAATACTTGATTGGGAGCCGCCCAGAGTGGCTGGGGAAACTCAGCCAGATGGGCGGGGTATAAATAATAAATTATATTATTATTATTATTATTATTATTATTATTATTAATGGGCTAATCCAACTCCAGTAAAAGGCAGTTTCCTATGTTCTTATACTTATTTTCTCTTAATGAAAAGAGAAATCTGTTGTGTGTGTTTTTTTTAGAAAGGCTAAACGAACGTTGCCATTGGTGAGACATTAGTTCACTTACACGTAATGATAAACCACGGATTAGAGTGTGTGAGCGCAGGGGTGGACTTGGTAATGGCTTTCTGAGCAAGGACAAAATTTGGTGCCCCCCCCTTTAAATATTTTCACAATAATTCCTCGTTTATTACTTTGCATCCCTTTGGCTTGGTGCCCATATCAGTGGGCTTGCCATATTTCTAGAAGTCAAATTCAAAGGTTGTTGAGCTTTTTTTTTAGGCAGTCAACCTAAAAGTCCCGGACATTTTGCCGCTGGCGCTATTTTGAGCTGGGCAAAGGCTCTTGCTTCTGCATGCGGTTGTGGTTTGTCACAAACCCTGGCCAGTTTCAAATGCAGCCAGCTATAAACTATGGGCTATGATATGGGCTTGTTAAAACATGTATGCTAGTATATCTAGCGCTTAGCGTGCTGTGCCTTGTTAGAATGCATTTAGGATTCTCATTGAGAAATATTCTTGTAAATATCCTTTTTACAGCAGTTGTAATATGAAATGCTTGTCCTTGCAATAACTCTTGCCTAGCTTTTTAATGATGGGGGCACTGTAGCTGAGCTCATGACTTGTCCAAAGCCACCTAATGAGTCTTTGATTGCTCAGTGTTTTTATAAACCGAGCTCTCTTAAGTCCTAAATTTCATTACCTGTCCAAATGCCCCATCTTCAAATTTTAAATGATAAATAAAATGGAAAATTAGGCCTGTTCATCTGAAATTCTTGATCTAAGGTACATAGAAGAAGGGGGGGAAATTTCTTCTATATTCTCCAGGTTCAAGTTCCTCTTAAACTTGGCACTGTACTCCTGTTTAGACTTATAACAGACTGTTGCAACCATTTTTGCTTTTTAAATCAAATTGTAACTACTAACCTGAAATGAAGGGGGTAGGTGGAAATTGGTATGTTGGTGCCACAGGATGTGTCCAGCACAGGACCTGGTAGTGCTCTCAGCTTTGGGGAATTTCTGTTTGCATTAGAGAACTTACAAAGATAAGTAATTTTATCACATTTTAGAAATGAGAGGATTTGGCTCGGCCTTCAAGTAGACTAAGCTGCAAGGTTTAGAATATTTCCAAGTAAATCTCAGATGTAACGTACTGAGGATAACAGTAATCAAAGTGAACTTTTCATTCAGACCAACCATCTGTCCTGTCAAGTATTTAACGTAGGAGTTAGTTTATAAGTGTGGGAGGGAGGAAGAGGAGCAATAGGGAACATCTATAAATGTTGGGTGCCAAAATGCGTTTGGAAGGTAATACTCCCAGCTGATCTGTTTTGCACAGGAAATCCTCCTCGTGGAAGCTGCGGTGGAGCCTTATTTTAGACCAGACCTTCCAAGTCACCACTTTTAAAAAAGTAATCACGCAACACAGTAGTAGTGGAAATTAGTTTTTTGGGTTGAGTAGGAGGAATGTGTGCAAACTGTATAGTTTTGCCTGCACTAATTTTGTTAATACGGGGGTGGATTTGGAGAGGTGCCAGATGTCTTCAAGAGTCTAGACTGCACAAATCTCCTGTTAGTCAGGCTGTAGATTAAATTACAGGGCTCAGTTCTGTAATACAAAGGAGGATCGATATCTGAGGAAATATTCTAGCAGTTGTGAAACCTGGTATGGGGCAATTATTTGGAGCAGGTTGAAGTAGTGTGGGCTTTGAAAACTGGAAGTAGCAGTGAGTTCAGTTGGCTAACCAGTTCTCCTTTTCTTTCATCCCTCCAAATGGTCTACGTGCCGCTGCTTCTGCCTGGAAATACCCCACAAATAACAGCAACAGCAGTTGCAGGCTCAACACCTCTCACACGGCCATGGACCCCCAGTGCCTCTAACCCCTCACCCATCAGGACTTCAGCCTCCTGGGATTCCTCCGCTTGGGAGCAGCGCTGGCCTCCTTGCCCTCTCCAGTGCTCTAGGTGGGCAGTCTCACTTGGCAATAAAAGATGACAAGAAACACCATGATGCAGACCACCACAGAGGTGAGAGGCATGGAAAGCCCGATTAGGACATTGCCAGGTGCATATTTGCACCTTGCTGCAAATTGCAGGCATCTCTAAAGAAATTGCGCTTATGTTGAGCGAAAGCCGAGAGCAAACTGGTTGCCAGACGTTTAAGAATGGCACTCTGCATTTATACCACTGAAGCAAAATTCAGCTTGAAGTTTTCAGTCTTTGAAGCTGGGAGATCGCTAAGGATCCCTTGCTTTTATGAAGTGCAGGACATTTTGACATCCTGACAGATGCTTAGTTGTAACCTCAGTGGTCCGCACAATATTGTGGAAAATTGTTAAAACAGAATAAATGGGTAATTTTATCTTTTTTGATTAAAGAAAGTGATCTTTAATGGGAAGAGTTCTGGGGAGGGTGGGCAAATGACGGAGTCAAATTTTGAGGTGAATGTGTTGAAATGAAAGTTTTAGAGCATTAAAACTGTTTTGTAGGTTTGTTTAGGACACCTTTAAATATTGGGCAAAATTGCACTTGAATAATTTTTGAAAAAGAAAAAAGTAATTTATTCTGTCATGGAAAGAACTAGGCTTTGTGTATGGTTAAACTGTAAATCATGTTTACAAAATGTAATTTTCAGGAAATCACTGTATTAGGAATGTGCAATGACTTATATAAATAAAAGCCATTTTAAAACTGTTCGCGGCTTGTGTTCTAATTTTCCCCCCTTTTTTATTTCTGTTCTTGCCTCTGTGTCTGAACGGGCATGTCTGTGCATTTCTTGGTTACTACGGGAACAGACAGAGATGCGGGCACAGTAAGTACCAATATTCCTGCTAACATTAACATTTTTCAGTTACTACAGTAGTTGATAGCCAGATATTCACATTTTCTTCCCTTGTAGGGCTTACTTGCTACTTCTCTCCTAGTTTAGATAATGGGCATAGTGTCTGTGGTATGAATACTGCAGTGCTTTGTTGGAATAATAAAAATAAAAATAAAATTTCTATTGAACAGCTTTTGTAGCTGCTATGATAATATCCCTACAAACTAATCTGGTTTTGGATAGCAACTGCTCAAGCCTGCATTAATTGCATTACATATGTGTGTACTTGTGAAAACAGGTGAGATTAAAAACTTGCACATTAGCCATAGCAGGGATTTGTAGTTTTTCTAACTTTGTCTTCATTCATATACATATGTGTTAAGTATCTGATTAGCATATCAGATGTTTCATATCTAATCTGCCTTTCCTTTTGTGATTAGTATATCAGACATTTCCCATCTAATCTGTCTTGTACTTGGAATGTATTGCTAGTGTCACTCTTAGGCTTTTCAAAAAAGTCTTCTATTGATTTTAAAAACCACTTACACACCCTCACATGGTTCATCAGAGAACTTTTTTGTTGGTATCAGGGGCCACCATGATTCTTTGGCCATGTATATGCCTAATTTAAACAATATATCTGTCGTGCAGCATATCTATACTACAATCAGTAGATGGCATTTTTAAAAATAATTTTTATTTGATTTTGGGATGTCCCTTGAAACTGGATTTTCCAGGGTTTACACACATTCGAAACTGTTTTGTAAGATGTGAAAGGAATGTCTTTCTCATCCCCTCTCATATTTTTCCAGTTTATTCCACACTAGAGTGCAGGAACTTCAAAAGTGCATTAGAGTATTAGAAGTACAAATTCTGTTGGGGTTGCTTATTACTTTCCTCCGGACACTTGGAAGTCTTGAGAAGTCATTTGGGATATCTGCTAAAGTTGTGAGGTCATCTTTAGTTCATTACATTCCCCAAGAAATATAACTGGGTTGCTTTCCATGTGTGTCATTGAGCCATCTAAAGATTCGTGCAATTTGCTTCAAAGCCTTGGGCAAAGGTGGAAGAGCAAACATGTTGCCCACAATAGTAGGGCTAGATCAGGAGTGCAAGAGACTGTGTGCAAGAGGCGAGGGAGCATTGTCACATGGTCAGAATGCATCCCAGAAGCACGTCCATCCCTGTGAAGTTGTAGAGGGTACTGTGTTTCATTTGCAGTTGAAAGAAACTGCTGCTCGTTTTGGGTTAAAAAAATTAATTTATCTTTTGCAGCACAGTGTACGCTCGGGTTGCAAACGTGATCCGTGTTTGCAACCTGCAGTGGTGCATCTGCACATGCACAGGTTGCGATTCAGCGCGCATGTGCAAAGCACAATTTAGTGCTTCTGCACATGCACGACTGTCAACACCCGGAAGTAACCCGTTCTGGTACTTCCGGGTTTCGGCGGTCCATAACCCGAAAAAACGCAACCTGAAGCGTCTGTAACCCAAGGTATGACTGTACATTGTTATTTTACCTATCACCCTCAGTGTACATTGCACTGTCCTCTAGTCTACTTGTATGTTTCAGCTGCTCAGACACAACACTGATGTAAGAACTCTTCTCCAACTTCCACTCCTAGCTATGAGATGCTTCCCTTCATTTGGGGGCAGTGCATGCCATAGAGCAGGGGTCGGCAAACTAAGGCCCACTGCCTCCATCGCCCAGGCCAGCGGCATGGACTCTGTGCCCCGCCGATACAGAGGATGATGCCTTTGCTGCCGAAGACCAGGCGGTGGTGGTGTGAGTGGTGGCAGGGGCGGGGTTGGGGTTCCTTTGGGAGAGGGTGGGTCCGGCCCCCCACAAGGTCTGTGGGACAGTGGAGCGGACCCCTCCTGAAAAAGTTTGCTGACCCCTGTCATAGAGGTTTCAATCTAATTTCAGTCCTTTTACTTTTTCTTCTTCCACTTACACTAGCTTTTTCAAAGCTTAATACCTCTTCACTGTATATTAAAGGGGTCACTTAGCCTGGATTCTGAGTCCCACCAGCAGGCAGGGTGAATGATTGGTCCAGTTTCTCTATTCTCCCTGCTGTTTCTTTCCCCCAAAAAGCTATTCCAAAGGACTGTTCTTTCCCAGAACAGTCTGGGAAAGAAGTCAGTGAAATATTTGCTAGCACCATTAGCAACTGCTGAACTAAGCTCTAGTGGAAGAGCTTGCAGTGTCCTATATAAGTTGGTTACTTAGAAGTTCTATGCTTCTACGAGTGTTTGCGCAGGCAGAAAAAACTAAATCTTGGATTTAGTTTCTTCTCTTCTACAGAACTCTAGCACAGGGCGTAGCACAGTTCCTCCACCCACACGTGGAAGGACACTTTGAATTCAACCAAATACGTTATTTCTTGCCATTTTAAAAAGTATATTGGAATGGGAATCAGATTGCTTCAGCAGTAAATAAGGGTTATGCTCACAAGTGTGAGCAAAAAACAAACAAACCCTTCTTAATTGGAGAATGTAAAGCAAATGTACTCTGTATTCTCTAATAATACCTCAGATATTACCTTGGTGTTCATCTCTGCATGACAGACATTTTATTCCACTGTAAGTACGCTGCTTTTACTCTTCCTGCCATCACACTTTTGGAGCTGTTCCTGAAAAAGAGAGGAGGTGGGTTTTCCTGATTTAGTTGCAACTATATATTATAGTGGACAGTAAGAACCATTGCAGGACCTGGACTGTCAAAACTGCTGGAGTACTTTTTCCTATCTGGCTAGGAACTACATTTCTGGGTGCATTGAAGGGAATCCTAATAGACACCTCCTACAACAGGACCAGCTACTGTACATCATACCAAGACATAATTTAGCACAATGAGAATAAACAACTATCTGACTTTTAGAAGACACCTGAAGGCAGCCCTGTTTAGGGAAGTTTATCATGTTTGGTGTTTTATCATGTTTTTGATATTCTGTTGGGAGCCACCCAGAGTAGCTGGGGAAACCCAGCCAGATGGGCAGGCTTTATTTATTTATTTATTTATTTATTTATTGCTTCAGTTTTCTATTAACCACAGTTTAGCTTTGCATCCAAATCTGAAACCATGGTTGCCATTAACCACGATTTGTTTAAGCGAACCACTTTGGTGACTCATCTTTTAAAGTTGGTTTGTTTCAAACAAATGATTGGTTTGGGCAACAGAAAAAATAAATGATTATGTAAAATTGGTTGTGTCTAAACTCCTTGCAGCTGCATCGGAAGAAAAGATTGGAGGGAGAAGCATGTGAACCTGAGACTTTCTGCAGCTCATTTCTGTTTTGCTGACTTTGGTTTAGTGTGGCATCTGAATATGGCCCTACAAGCCATGAACTATGCCAAAGATGAAATATGGAACCTTCTTAATTGCTTCCCTTAACAATCTCAGATTCCATGCAAGCTTGGCTCCCAATCTGTTCAGGATAATATGCTCCAGTTGTACCAGCATCAAATGATGACTGACACCCTTCCCTTCATCATCAACTACTGCCCCTCATTAGTTCGATAGTTCGGGGGCTGGGGGTTTACAGTACCAACATTTCTGTCCTTTATTATCTGCTTCTGAAGCCCAATAGACATGCTTGCCTATAAAGGAAATACGATTTCCCTCTTCCATGTGCTTGCCATTTCAGCTGTGACCCTACAATTGTGGGTTGCAATTGCATGCAATGTCAGACAAACGCCAAACTTTGCATGTCTGAAACAGGCCTTAAGGTCCAACTGCCTTCAGCCATAAGGTCGCTCTGAACTCCCCAATTTTATTTCCTGATTTTGATAATTGCATATTCTGTTGGTTATATGTTGGTCTTTTGGCTTTTCATAATAGTTTTTAATACATTTTGAGAAATTTTATGATATTTTGTGGTTTTAAATTGGTTTTTTTATGTTTAAGGGGCTTGTAAACCACTTTGGCAAGAATTTTTTGCTTTAAAAGCAGCATACAAACTCATTAAATAAATGTGGACTTTAGCCTAGAGCAGGCTTCCTCAACCTCGGCCCTCCAGATGTTTTGAGACTGCAATTCCCATCATCCCTGACCACTGGTCCTGCTAGCTAGGGATCATGGGAGTTGTAGGCCAAAAACATCTGGAGGGCTGAGGTTGAGGAAGCCTAGCCTAGAGGGTTCCTTTTATTCTGGGGCCTCAGAGGTGAAAATGGGGATTCTACTATTGCCCTCCATCCTTGTAAGAGTGTACTTTCTAGCATGGCCTTCTCCAGCCTTTAGTCTACAGATGTTTGGACTTTACATTATCTCTGACCATTAGCTATGCTGTAGGGGGATGTAGTCCAGGAAATGTGGGGTGGAGTGGGGAGAAGAGAGAGGGTTGGGGAAGGCTGCTCTAAATGATATCTCATTCTCCTGGCCTTTGTTCTGCCCAGACACTGAGGTCCAGCTCTGAGGGACTTCTGGTGGTTCCATCACTGCGAGAAGCCAAGTTACAGGGAACCAGGCAGAGGGCCTTCTCGGTAGTGGCACCCGCCCTGTGGAACGCCCTCCCACCAGATGTCAAAGAGAAAAATAACTACCAAACTTTTAGAAGACATCTGAAGGCAGCCTGGTTTAGGGAAGCTTTTAATGTTTAATAGGTTATTGTATTTTAGTGTTTTGTTTGAAGCCACCCAGAGTGGCTGGGGAAACCCAGCCAGATAGGCGGGGCATAAATGAATGAATGAATGAATGAATGAATAAAATTATAAACCTGCACCCCTTCCATTGGCTGAGGCAGCACTAGACTTTTGACTCCTCTACAGAGAGTTGCCATGTGTCTTCTTTTTCCAGGACACGTTCACTTTTTCATGGGTAGAGTCGTCATAGTGATCCATAGTTGAAAGCAGAAGTTGGCAACTGTGTCCTCTTTTTCGCTCTTCAAAATATGGCAGCCCTAGCAGGCCTGACTATTTCCTCTTTCCACTTCAAAACAGAGTTGACTACAATAGCACCTGATCCTACATCAAGTCTACTTTATGCCAAGAATCTGCTGGTGCTGCCACAAGCTGTCTTTGAACACGCACTCAAAAATGAGTGGCAGGAGCCAATTATGTCTCTTAATGTAAACAGAATCTCTCTTAAGCTTCAACCCCTTCTCTAATGAGAGAGAAGACTTGTTTTCTTCTCCCAGGGAAGATACTGTGGTTGTGGCTTTGTCTAATGCTGCAGCCAGCCTGCCTTACGGCTGCAGATAATAAATACCACATTGACTGCAAGTTAGAAAACACATTGAAGAGAGATGCCTCAGCTACAGCCCTTAAGGCTTCAGGCGTAAGTTCCTACTCTGCCAGGACTGGATGAGCTTAGAGATCAAATTCAGAGGGATAAAAAGATTAACCCTATTCGTAATCTCTCTTATGGCTGCCTGTATGGCAGACTCTCAGCCTGTGTCATGTCAAGCGATGTACTAGCCAAGGCTGCTTTGGCTCAGATGTTGGAACATTAGACCCCCTCATCCAGTGCCCACCTGTTTAGGGCCTCCTTATAAGCTTCTAATGGAACTAGCAGAAAAGAGCGTCTCTTCTCAGGAACTCCTAAACCCTCCTTTAGCTCAGTCCCAGGGGCAGCACATCCTTTTTTAAAACCAAAATATCTTACAGTGACTATGTCCAAAGGCAGACACAATCAGGCAATAAACAACCCTACTTTAGCAACTACTCTTAATTGCTAGCCCGACACCAAAAAGAGACCAATTTGTCTTCCGCCCTCTCCGGCATCCATTGTGAAGAAGGCTGTCAAACCTCTCTCTGGAATGAAACCTACAGGTGGTTGTATGTTAGGCACTATCTCTAATACCAAAACTGTGCCACTGAGATACGGCCTTATTGCAAATGCTCCCTTTCTAAGGAAGGTGATTGCAAGTATTCTTAGATCAGTACACTGATGATGTCCACCTGAACTGGGAGGGGTTGTGCAAGCCCTGGACCACTGTTTGGACTTGGTGGTGGGCTGGATGAGGGCCAACAAACTGACTGAAACCTCAAATCCAGATAGCTGGTGAGTTACCTGCTTTGGATGGGGTCACATTCCCCCTGGGAGTGTAGTCTGGAAGTGATCCTGGATGCATCTTGGTCGCTAGAGGCCTAGTATTCAGTTCTCTGTGCGTGCAACACAGCACTATTCCTGTGCTTAAAACTGTTAAGGCAAGGAACTTGCAAGTAAGCTGAAGAATGACTTGCTGAAGCAACAGTGTCCACCTTTATTAACACCCATTCATCTGTCATTCATAAATAGTCAAATCCTAGCAGCTATTGAAAGGCTGTAACTCTTACAGAAGCATTCATGGGGCAAGTCTGAGCTCCTCTTTGAGAAAAGAGAGGAGCTAGAATTTCATAATGAGTAAATATTGGTTATTCTGGGTGCAAACATTTTGCCATCCCAGCATTCATCAGCATACATTTTCCTCTACTTAATATTTAGCATAATTATAGTCAAGCGTGGGTGTGCACACATGCACATTCTTATAAATTTATTTACAGTTTGACTCCCTTCCATACTTCAGAGGCCTTCATTTGTCTCCCCAGGCCAGAAAGGGTCTCAGGTGGAGAAGTATAGCTAAGCAAATCCATCTGAACAAAGTACAGTGTTGTGGGACCTGCATTCCCTTGTGTAGATTTCCCTTTTAGTTTTCCCCACTGTTTTAACTATTTAAATTTAATGACAGAAGAGCTACAGGGGCCTTAGCATCCTTGAGTGCCAGTATGATATAGCAATTACAAGAGTGCTGGGTTAGGGTATGGAAATCCCATATTCAAACCCATGAAGCTCATGTGGGAAGTTTGGGGCAAGTTCTTTTTACCCTAAAACACCTCACAGTTAAAATGAGGTCAAAGGCCACCCCCAAGCTCCTTGAAAGAATAAGAGTTTTGATGTAATTAAATTATTCATCTTGTTTGGAATAGGACTAACTTAATGTGTAAGACCCCTTGAAACTAATGGTAATTCCCATTCAACAGATTAGCCCCAAACAAAGGAGAAGCTACATTTTGAATTTATAGTAGAAGGGAATCTTTGAGTAACAGCACCAAAAAATTGGAGTGGTGGTGGAATTACTCATAAAATTGATTTAATCACTTAGGCCAATCTGGATAAATAATGTAGACTTCATGTTCTTAATCCCTGATAAATTGGGTTCTGACCATGAAAGCTGGGATTATCCTCAATTAAAATGTCTAGTCTACTGAAATTAAGATGAAACAAACTGGTTTCATGTTTCTCTTAGCAAGGTAGTAACAATTATTTGACAGAAATGCAATCAATTTACATTGCATAATTCAATGAAACGATTATACTGCTTTGTCTACCCCAGAATTTTTAAACTTCGGACACTTCTGCAAAAATTGAGCAAAGGGATGAAGATCTCAAACTGGGGATTTTCCACTATAGGGGAAAATAAGTGTTTCAGAAACACTTCAGAAAACAACTCCTACTGGAGTTGAAACCCTCCCCATTTTGTTTTGTTTCATTGTGTTTTTACTACAAAATAGTTGTAACTATAACAGGTATAATTCCGCAGTTAGTATACGACACATTGTGCTTTCACTTAGCAGATATGTGGAATTTAAAGTATGGAGGTTAGGCCTAAGTCTTGCTGCTATCACATATAAAGACGTCAGTGGTGCAAGTATCACACCTGCATTGCAGTCAGCTGTAATGGGATGGTGAAGATAATATCAATCCATTTTATAACTATACCTTTCTACCAAAGTGCGCAAGACTCCTTAAAGCAGAATTGCAACAAAATAAACTGCTGAAAATACTAAAGATCAGGATGCTTGCTTTGGAAGCATAGGCAATTGACAGTTGCGTAATTTCATTTAATGGTTTGTACAGTGCTCCTTCTTTAGAATTCTAAAGTGTCAAAATAAATAATATTAAACCTCAACCAAGCCACATTAATAATTACTACTGTAGTTTAGCTGCTGATTTAACAAAAAACAGTCGAATGTGGTCAAGACTCCATAACCTGGCAACAAAAGTATGGGTTGTATGTATGCAAAGTTATTTCCTGTGGAAGTACAGCACTACTATGGAAAATAACCCACTATACAGGTAAATACATATGACTGCCACTTCCATTGCTAACTGCTGTGCTGTGAGGGAGCCCTGACCCTAGGGCTAAGGCAAAATGCAATCTAGGACTGGGACTGAAGGCATCTTGATGATGGTGGGTGGGGAAAAAAACCTACCCACAATTGACCTCCTTTGGCGATACACATTTCACTTCTATATTGCCAGAAGTTTGAACTGTTAGCTCATTTCTACCTGACCACTGCTTCAGTAGTTATACCACAGTGAATAGAGGATAACTTTGGACAAACTTATTGGTGAGTCTGCAAGTACTTCTGGCAGGAAATGCATAAAGTTCCTAAGTGAAACAGTCCCCCCCATCCCATTTTTTCTGTTATTTATTCTCATTACTCACTTCAGTGTGTTGCAAACCACTAGCAACTTGAGTGGAACTGAAGATCTTTGCCACTCTGCCTCCAAGATAAGATTCATCCCACAATAAAAAAGATAGCAAAATTAGCAAACACATTTCCTTTCTTCTGAATGAACATTATCACTGAGCCTGTCAGAAGTGATATTTGGGTATGTCCCCCTCCTTTTTTCCCTCCCCACCCCCATTGCTAGCTCTGTTGCTCCACTCTATATTTTGCTCAGGGTGTGTACAAATCACTGCTGTGTGAGTTGATTTATTGTCTGTTTTTCATAAACATTTCTGTATTCTTTTGCTTTGGTAAACTCCAGAGAATGATCTCACATCCTACTGAGTCACGATCCATTGTGTATCCATAACACTGTCAAGATTACGTGAAAGCACACAACCTAATCTCAAAAGATAGAATTAGGTGATGCTGCTGCAAAAGGTCTGGATTTTGACTTCTTGGTACCTCAGGTTTCCGTATAAAAGCAGCCTCTCTCATAGACTCTTACAAAAATTGTTCTATTTTATTCACCATCTCTCTTCCCATTTGCCTTTATTTTAAAAATAATTACTATCTTCATAACATTATCAGTCTTTAAAATTTAAAGTCTTTGGGGGGGGGACTTGCTTCCCCTCCAGGTATAGGGTAGTATATAAATTCAAATAACAAGCAAACAAACTTGAGGTGGAGTTTCAAGAACAGCATGGCAGCTGCTCATAACACCCACATGTCTACTGCCTGCTCATAGCCAACTGATAGTCTGCAGCTGCCACCATGGGTAGGACTGAGAACCTTGAAAATTGCCTCTGGAGGGGGCTACACAAGATCAGCAGGCGTAAAAGGTAAAGGGATCCATGGCCATTAGGTCCAGTCATGGCTGACTCTGGGGTTGCGGCGCTCATCTCGCTTTATTGGCCGAGGGAGCCAGCGTACAGCTTCCGGGTCATGTGGCCAGCATGACTAAGCCGCTTCTGGCGAACCAGAGCAGCACACGGAAACGGCGTTCACCTTCCTGCCGGAGCGGTACCTATTTATCTACTTGCACTTTGATGGCTTTTGAACCGCTAGGTTGGCAGGAGCAGGGACCGAGCAAAGGGAGCTCACCCCGTCGCGGGGATTCAAACCGCCGACCTTCTGATCGGCAAGTCCTAGGCTCAGTGGTTTAACCCACAGCGCCACCCGTGTCCCGTGTACACAAGATCAGCAGGCATACAGGCATGCAAATCCAGTAGTCATCTAGATGTTGCTGCCAATCTTACTTAAAGCCTTCCTATCCTGCTTTTCCTATTGCTCACCCAAGGCAGTTTACAAATAGTAAAACTACTTGAGAGTGAGTGAATTGCTCGCTACTGTCTGCAGTGAATGGCGGCAAATCTCAATGGTTCTCTCTGACTCTGTCTATCTGGAGATGCTGGGGAATTCAACTGGGACCTTCTGCATGCAACGCATCTGTTCTGCCACTGAGCTATGGCCCTTCCTCACTAAACATTAGAAATCTCAATACACACTCCCAACATAAAGTGTAAAATGCAGATTAAAAGGGAAGCAGTGACAATAAGTACGCATCAAATACTCAGGGAAAATAAAACACTTGGCATCAGTCTGTGAAATAGGTGGCAAGCAAATAGTTCTAGGCAGAATATTCCATACGTGGAGCAGCACCTCAGAAAAAGCTTTATCCTTGGTCACACCTGTCAGTACATTTCTATAACACTTGATTTGAAGAGAAACTTCCGGTCTCTTCCCCCCGCTTTTTCAATCACAGTATTGTACTACTTATGGAATTATAGCAGCATTGCTATGATAACATTACAACAGATAGTGCTGGTGCAAATGCTGATTATGAGAATGGTCTTGTAACCAATGCCAAATTGATTTTAAACCATACTTAGTATTACAAATTGCAATGCATGATATTAAAAATTAATGTGCTTTCAAAATTTCATAAGGTAAGCACTGTAGATCAATAGAAAGTGCCAGCCATTTTGAGAGTGTTTGTTTTCTATGAAGCAGTGAAAAAATCAGAGCTGTATCAGTGGACAAGTCATTGGGGTCCTGTTGTAAGGTAAATAGGAATCTGCCTTAGACTGAGTCAGACCACTGATCCATCTAGCTCAGTATGGCTCATTGGAGTTTCAATCTAAGGATTGAGCCTGAGGCCCTGCCAATATAAAACTTCCCAATGAGGTACAGCCTTTTTCTCTGGAAAGTCGTTTTCAGAGTCTTTGTCTGATCAAATTCCATATTTCCCAAGGCAAAATTCTGGCATGAATGTTGTAATTCCTGCATTGCAGGGGGTTGTCCCCTTTGTCCCCTTTCAGCTCTGTTGTCCTGTGATAGTGGTGAGCTGCTTCATTCTTTTATAATGCAAGATGTGTTGCTAGATTAGGAGGTCTGCCAAGGGTTTTCCATCCACCAGATTCTTGCAAATGTCTCTGAATGGCACAGGCCTCCCAAGAGGATTTTGGATCCCTCATGTGCCCTCAGGACCCTTCCCAGTGTAGACTCTTTCAACACTCCACATGCCTCTGAGGTCATCACAAATGACTCCCAACGACAGCGGGATCTTGGCTTTCTAGGCTCAACATGAATTTAGTGTCATCTCTTGGGCTTAGGGTGGTAGTTTACACATTGCCCCCAAAGAAGGTACCACTTATTTCCAATTTTAGCCAGGGCAGAGGTGGGCAAATGCACCTCAACATACTTGGTATTGGTTTCAAGTCTTTGTGATAAGAATGCCCATTTCAGCCACATGCTTCATGGAAGACTTGGGAAAAGATCTGAGGTTTAAATAAACCGGTGGCAGCACAAAAATCATTTTGGGGGAAATATTCAAAGCATAAGCACCTGCAAATAAGAATTGATATTTTAACAGAGAAGGAAATTTCAGGGGGGCTGAAACTGAGTTGTAATGGTGAAGGATGGGTGGAATATATTGAGATACTGTCTTGGGACAGTGAATATTGATGAAATATGGATCTCTACACACTTCTCTCTCTCTCTCTCTCTTATACACAAACAAACATACCTGTCTGCTAGCAACGTTCTGTAAAGTATATGTGTGGATGTTTGTGTATTAAAAGATCTTTCAAAATGGGAACTTAATATTTGGTCCCAGTTTCTCCCTTGAGCCTTCCTAGTTTCCTTAAGTCACCCGGGGGTAGAAAACAAAAACCCAACCTTGTATATTTCAAGCTAATGAGTTCAGTGATCCTACAAACCTGCCTTTTCAGCCACAGAACACTGCGGTAAAGACATGACTGTGAGCTGCTTTTTACTTGATTTCATTAGACCCTCCCATAGGCTTTGTGTAAGATCCCTAGTGTGTATTGAGCTTGAATAGTCAGAAATAAAAGGGGTTGAAGCTTGCTTTTAAAGTGTGATTCTTGGAGTGCTGAAGAAAGTTCAGATTGCTTTAGGTGCCCTTGTTTGTCTTGTTTTCTTTTCTCCTTGCTGTTAAGAATTGGTGTATGAGGACTACAAAGCTCCTAGGGTGGTTGTCCTGGGGGGGGGGGGTTTGATGCGGGGAGCAGCTCTTAGTAATATTAGCTTTTTCCCCCCTTCCAGGTGTAATTATTAATATGTGAATAACAGTTTTCTTTGAAGTAGCGGTGCTGGTAGAATTTTTTTTTTGGTATACCTTTTGTTAAAGTATGTTAGCATTATGCTTCCTTGTAAAGATGACTTTCAGAAATGAGGCTTGTCAGGTCTTTGTGAAAAGAGCCCTCTTCTCTCCCCCCTCCACCAACCATTCATTCAGCATTGTTCATGGCATTAACACACCATTGAACAAATTGCCCTTCTTGCATATGCTAATCCTGAACTTAAAAGAACCCATTGTGACATGTTTAATGCTTTTGCTGGAGGGAAGATGAGAATTGGAGGCATGTCAAATTATCATGTGACCCAGAAATATCTCAAATGCCTCTCTTCCCCTTTGGGTCAACAGTTTGTACTTAGCATTATCTAAAAGAAAGTAGCCTGTAGATTGTGGACACAATTAGTTCTTGCTCTTGTATTTTGGCCTTCCTTTCACATTCTGAGTTTTATGTTGGAAGTGGGGTTGTTTTTTTTGTTATTGTTATTTTAAAGAAGTGCTAAGCAGTAAATTGGCTGAGACCAACCATTTTATCAGTTAGGCAGTAAGGTCATTTCGCTTCGTACTGCTTTGTGTTTCTTCAGTTTATGATTCTTATGGGTGATATCCAACATTAGTCATACTCCGAGCAGACTCACTGAAATAATTGGACTCAAGTCCATTAATTTCTCTGTGTCTGCTCTCAGTAGGATGACACACAAGCAGATTAAAGCTTACATTTGTTTATTTACTTACAATAATTTATAAGCCGCAAATACAAAACATTCCTGATTGGTGTACACCATATTTAAAACAAAGCAATATAGGAGTAAAGTATAAAACAGGAAAGATTCATGAATCTGAAGGCCGTATTATATTCTTCTTGTATGGCTTGATAGTTGAAAGGTGGGAACCTGTTGTGAACTGCCCTGTGGTCTTCAGATGAAGGGTGGTACACAAATTTAATAATAACCACCGCCTCCTGTGGACCTCCAGATCCTGGTGGAGTACATCTCCTAGCATCCTTGGCTATTGGCCATACTAGCTAAGTGTGTTGGGAGCTGAAGGTCCTCTGGAGGTTCACATGTTCCCCACCTCTGTTATACCAGTTTCTTACGTAAGTCTTTTTGTTGAGTACAGAGAGATGCAGGCATATAAAATTTCTATTTATCTAGAACAACATGGCAGCCACAGGTATCTACAAATTCCTCTTCCACCTGCCCTGCCCAAAATAGGCTTGAAAGAAGCATTCTGTTGTAGACAACAAAATATATTTTGATGTCGTGTGCCTGATGCCTGTGATTTTCTTCAGTTTCCAAATGTGCACCAAAAAGGTTGGTGACCCTCAAACTGGAGCCACTCTTAACTGTTCAGCTGAGATCCAAACAGAGTTGGCACTCCTGCTGTCTGCTCCTTTCCACAGGCTTTCACTTAAAAGAGGAGTAATATATTAACCATTAGCAATGCAAATTTTAAGGCAGACTGTAAATTAAGAGGAGATTAAGACAAACTCCTTTTCAGAAGCACAAATGCTTTATGCTTGGCTGAAATATTTTTCATGAGTAAATAGCCCCTGAATTTCTCCCCATAAAAAGCATTCGAATAAGACCATATATAATAACAAGCTCTTTGATTCAGGTGACTTGCACAAACCTTTTTCCTAAAACAGCTGTTTTGTGGGTATCTGAATCTGCTTTTAAGGTTTTTATGTTTGTAAAGTACTATCTGGAAATGTAATTAATGTACTTGAATAGTAAAATGCTATCTGGAAATGAATGCAAGAAATGTGCCTATTTCAAGCTTAGGAAATGTGTGCAAGGAGATCTTTAAGGTAAATGTCTACGACCTTGTGTTTGTGTTTACAGAGTAACTCACTCTTGGTTCCGGATAGCCTGCGGAGCACAGATAAACGAAGGAATGGACCTGACTATTCCAATGACATGAAAAAAAGAAAGGTGGATGATAAGGACTCGAGCCACTATGTAAGTAAATCTGTCAACGATGATTAACTTACTTTCAGATGCTGTGCATGTATGGAGGAACTCATACCTGGGCTTCACATGGTCATGGATGTGAAAGAGTGAACACTGGCAGCCTAACTTTTGCTTCATATAAAGGGATGTCAAGAATTTGATCTTATTAGTTATGAATTGTGGTTCTTTCCCTTCCTTTCCTCACCACCTTCTGGGTCTCTCAGCACCTTTTCTCTGAATTCTGTCAGGTTGCCAGGATACCTGCAGCTCTCATCATTCCAAGAGTGCTGTCATTAAGACTGCCATTATGTCTGAACTGGGCTTTTTCTTGTTAATGAATGACCTTGCTTCTGTGATCCTTGATAACCATACTAACAATAGGATATCTTTAGCCCAGATAATGCCTGAAGTGTAGTTCTGCTGCCAAACCTAAGCCTGTCTGGCAGTGTGTGCTCTATGGATGGGAGACCATTTGAGACATTCCCAGAGTAGAAACAGAGTAGAATGGTATAACAGGTGAAGAGCAAAAGCAAGAGACTCATGGAGAGTGGGGATCAGGTGCCACCTTGTATATCAGATTATCTAGCACAGGCACATCCAACAGGTAGGTTGTGATCTACCCGTAGATCACTGACCTGAACCCCCCAAAAGGGGGTAGATCACTGCCAGTTTTTAACTCTGTGAGTAGATTGCAGTCTCTTGGGAGTTGGCCACCCCTGATCTAGCACATTTGTCAGGTATGTTTTTATTTTTGTACAGAAATTGATGTTCTCTTTTTAGCTGGTTATGATTCATCCATCCATCCATCCATTCATTTCTTACCTGTCATTCACCATAAGGTCCGAGGAAAGCTTGCAATCATGTACTCATACAACTAAAAACAAATAAAACAGTTTATACAGTTATGAACAGAAGTGAAATCATTCCACATAAAAGCATCCGAGAACAATAATGATTACTAATAGTAATTCAGTTTATAATCTTCCCAAAGAAGCCAATAACAACAAACATTGATATCATAAAATATTATAACAACAGATTAATACATTCTTTGAAAATGTTTTAAAAAACACATTTATCAGCCAATGATTTCAAGGTTGCCAGGAATAGTAACATATGGTCATCAAGTGCTTGGGTAAACAGGAATATTTTTAAATTTCTCTTGGAAGTCAGTAATGAGGGAGACACTGTATGGTATCAAGAAATGTGGTCCAGTGCCCCAGTGGAAAAGTTAACATACAAGATGAAAGCATTTGGAAAAGGAAATGAAACAGACAACTTTGGTGATATATGCTACCTTTTAAAAAATTGCATGCAATAAAGAAAACAATTTTATATCTTTTCAAATGCATATTAACTTATGGTTAACATTCACAGATCTTGGCTAACTGTATTGCTTTCTATATATTTCTTTGTATTACCTTATTATAATGACCATGTCCACACATCAGTGATATTGATTTATTGTACTTTCTTTAAAAATTATGCATTACATTTAAGCCTACTGTTTGTATCTTTACCAAAATCAAATAAATACATTTTAAAAATAAGGTGGAAGACAGATAATCTTCATCAGGTGGGACTTTTCACAAATGGGGAACCACCAATGAGAAGGCTCTGTAGAGATGAGATGGCCTGGAAAAAACCCAGAAAAATTGGGGGAGGGAACCAGGAACGCCCCCCTTTTCCCCCCAAAGCCATTTTTTTCTGGAAAAATTGAAAAAAGCAGTTTGATATAGTTTGAATATTCCACACATTTTTTTTTCTTTCAAATTTTCCCGGGGAAAAGGCTTTGGGGAAAAATGGAAAAAAACTGGTCCCCGCCCCTTCTTTTTCCAGTTTTTTCCCCAGGCCTTCCCATCTCTACCCATGACAGAGCCTTCTCTTGGTGGTTCCCCATTTGTGAAAAGCCCCACCTGCTGAAGTCATGGGTCAGTGCCAACCAGGCAGCCCCCAGTAGCAGCAGCACCAACGACAGAAATTAGCAGAACAATAGAAGCTGGCTAAAGAGGGGCATCCTCAGCAAACAGCAGAAACTACAATGAAGATGCTAGATGCACTTCAAAAAAAGAGAGCCAGTGTGGTGTAGTGGTTGAGAGCGGTAGTCTTGCAATCTGGGGAACCGGGTTCGTGTCTCTGCTCCTCCACATGCAGCTGCTGGGTGACCTTGGGCCAGTCACACTTCTTTGAAGTCTCTCAGCCCCACTCACCTCACAGAGTGTTTGTTGTTGGGGAGGAAGGGAAAGGAGAATGTTAGCCGTTTTGAGACTCCTTCGGGTAGTGATAAAGCAGGATATCAAAACCAAACTCTTCTTTCTCTCTATATCTATATCCAGTGCTTTTTCCCCCGGAGGACGCAGGGGTACGCATACCCCTAAACATTTTGTGAATCTAAGTTTGGCCTCATTGAGGGACAGTATTTCAATATGAGTAGGAAAATGAGAGTACCCCTAAACATTTTGTGTGTGGAAAAAACCACTCTCTATATCTATATATCTGTCTATATCTCTATTTGTATTGTTTAAGCCTTGGACTTGCAATGTATTTGATCTGTATTTATGTTTGGTCTTTCAGCTAAAGTTAATAGACATACTGTAGTAAAGTGTACTGACCAAAAACAAATACTTTGTTTTCAAATTTAGGACAGCGATGGGGACAAAAGTGACGACAACTTAGTTGTGGATGTGTCCAATGAGGTAAGTTGCTTTGCACTGGAATGTATATAATTGGAAGTGGGGTTTTTTCCCAAGGCACTGCACCATGTTTCTGAAAGTTGTGGATTACTTTTGCTTATCTATGGTTGAATATCTGAGCTACAGTAGTCGTCCCTGTGGTCACTGGTCTCTTGGATAGGCACAGGGTAGTGGGGCATAATAGTAGTGATTTTCCATGCAGAGGCCAGAATACTTTCACCACAAGTCATGGATGCTTTGGAGTTCTTAATCTGAGGGCCTTCTGGCGGTTCCCTCACTGCGAGAAGTGAAGCTACAGGGTATTAGACAGAGGGCTTTCTCGGTAGGGGTGTCCTCTTTGTAGAACACACTCCCATCAGATGTCAAGGAACTAAATAACTATACAACTTTTAGAAGCCATCTGAAGGCAGCCCTGTATCAGGAACTTTTAAATTCAGTGCTTGCTATTGCCTTTGCCTTGCCCACAAACCATCCAGGACCCTTCATCTCCACGGGCAAGTCCTGCTCATTCACCACGTGAGAACGGCATAGACAAGAACCGCCTCTTGAAGAAAGATGCCTCTAGCAGCCCAGCATCCACTGCCTCATCCGGAAGTTCTACTTCCATGAAATCCAAAGAAATCGGTTTGGTGAGTGTTACCCCTCTGGCCTGACCACTGTTGTATATTTGGATGCCTAATAATTATCTATTTCAACTTCACGTGTAAATGGTACATGTCGGGGGTAGTGTTAGATTGGGGGAGTGAGCCACCACCTAAGAAAACATAAGGTGGTTGTGCAACTAATAAATGAAATGCCTTCTAATCAAACACTTGTTTAAACCCAGCTCTCTCAAGATCAGTGAGAATTTTGCCCTTTCAGTTCACTGAGATATGGTTTGCAATTTTGTCAAATTAATTTGTTGAAAGTCAAAACAGTTAAGTTTTCTAGGCTGCAGCTCTCAACAGATTGTCAAACACACATTTGTCTCTAGGACCTTCGGATTAATCTGAGAAAGTATTCAATATTTAGACACATATTTTAGGCATTAGGATCTAAGCAGTGTGATCTTCTGTCATTAGCATCATCCATTGACCCTTCTGTACATGGGTGATGTTGTAAACTAATTTAATTCCTTTCAATTATTTGAACTGATCAGTTAACCAAATGTATGAATATTTTGACTCCCGACCAGACAAAGCAGCATTGATTTCTTTTTAGATTTTTTTGTGACTATTCTCCTAGATTTTCTAAATGTTATGTTATGTTTTATTTATATCTCTTATGTTTTATTTATATATCACTTTTCGGCCCCAACCTCTATTTAGTTGCAAACCATTATGTTTTTATTGTTATGGCAACCAGTTAGTATGCTATACAGGTAATATGAATTTTCAAATTGGAATCTTGATTTATATCAATGATTTAAATTGGTCTTCTCTCTCTCTCTGATGTTTAAATCCTAATTTGAAAGCTCCCGTTTTCACATACAGCATAAATGCTGCTAATGTTCCTTGGAATTTAGGAAAATAAGTCTAGAGAATTAGGCAGTTAGCACTCAGCATCTCAGTTGCTGTTGTGATCAATTGTGTAACATGGCCTGGATAAAAAGCAATGTTTCTTGATACCAGCATGAAAAGGGCAGCACACCGGTTCTGAAGTCCAGCACACCAACCCCACGAAGTGATGTGCCAACCCCAGGAACCAGTGCCACTCCAGGCCTTCGTTCAGGCCTTGGCAAACCTCCATCAATGGATCCTCTGGTCAACCAAGCAGGTAACACAAACCTCTTTTGATGTTGTTTCCTTCATGAATACTTATAATCATTATCAAGAAGAATGATGTGTTAATAGCTCCCCTAGCTTGTGTCTGTCTCTCTCTGTTTCTGATGTGTTTGCATGCTGCTGCCTTCTGAAATACTAACATAGTTTGAATTTCTGATCATTATTCCAAGTGCTAGTTCCTTTCTGAAACTATTATCCCATATTTGAGACTGAGACAGCTAATGTTTGTTGAAGTGCACATAATGACAAACACAGAACGGCACCATGTGCATCTGCGTGCGAACTGCAGTCGGTTGCAGCACCAAATGTTATAAATTATGCCCAGTCTCGAAAGAAATATGCCCAGCGACCTCTAGAAGTGTTTCTCATGGGCTGTGGGGAGAGAGAGAGAGAGTGTTGCAGGCAGTCAGGATGTGATGAATATTATCTACATTTTCATGTGCCTCTTTACATCTGCTTCTTTAATGGGCAAATGTTAAAAGCTATCACATTCAGTATTGTTGAAATGGGTTTATCACAATCGTACGCACAGTTCTATAATAATTTTTTTTGAGAACTAGTAATTGATCAAAGTTAAAATTATAGAGCACTTAACGGAATTCAACTATGGAACACTCTAAAGCATATTATTTGCTTCAGAGAAGAAGGAGGCTGTACCCTCCCCTCACTTCTACCTGTCAGTCCCCTTTTACTATAGCAGCCATCTCCTCCGCCCCCCGATCATTGCTGGGGACACGGCTTAGGCACCACTACCCTGGCAAATCTTGGGGTGAGGGCCACAGCCCCCTCTGCTCCCATGTTTCTGGAATCCATAAATATGCAGGTTCTGGTCTACACAGCTGCAATTTGGAGATGATGTTAAGCACAGTTTGGATTATAGCTAGCGCTGTGGACACAATAGTTTGGGTTTTGTGGAAGAAGCACCCATGTGGAATTCCAGGGTGCTTGTTGCTTTCTGTGAAGAGGGACGACAAAGGAAACTGTCCTGAGCATCAGTATGTTTTCTTATTGTACCGCAGCTGCTGGCTTGAGGACACCTCTTGCTGTTCCCGGACCGTACCCTGCTCCGTTTGGAATGGTACCACATGCTGGCATGAATGGAGAGCTGACCAGCCCAGGAGCAGCCTATGCCAGCCTACACAACATGTCCCCGCAAATGAGTGCTGCTGCAGCCGCAGCCGCTGTGGTTGCCTATGGGCGATCCCCTATGGTAGGCTTGCAAACTGAACTGGGTGGGGACAGGGCTCACCGAGAGAAACCTCTATGCAACATTTGGCATTGTCAAGCTCCTGGGATATAACAGCACCAGAGACTTTATTGCTCTGCCGTGTGGCTTATGAAGCTACATGGCAGGAGCAGCTGAAACTACTTTCCCCCTTATTTAAAAAAGTGAAGGGTGTATCTGTCCTATTTATGTATGCTGTCTAGTTTTTGAAAGCAGGCTTCATTGCCTTGCTCCATTAAAAGGTAGCTTGAAACCATAAAATTGTTTCATTGGTTTGCTGAGCACTTGATTATTCTCTTGGGGAAGAAGATATATACACTTAGTGAGTATCTGACATTCATTTTGTTGCATACAGGATTTTATTTTTCTGTTTCTGTTTTCGTATCATTGAAATAGAGCAAAGATGGGAAACCTGTAGCTCTCCAGAAGTTGTTCAGCTCCCATTAGCTCCAGCCATCAGAGATGATGGGAGCTGTAGTCCAACAAATACATGGAAGGCAACAGCTTCTCCATCTCTGAAATAGAGGGTCCTCCTCCTTGTAGACTGTTCTGTAATGGAAGTGATATATCATAGAAGCACACACCCATCACGTATTGTCTCGGCTTTTTGAGACCCTAGTATTCCAAATTCCTCAGTATGTGGATCAATTTCATCATGTGGTGAGATTTGTGTGAAATTGTGGCTACGTTCAGGTGCAGCATTAAACTGTAGCTTAGTTTTTATGAGAGTGTGCAAATCTTCGGCTCAAGAGCTCCTTCCTGGGCTCCTCCATCACAGCCATGACACAGAGATGGAAAGATTCTGCTTCCTCAGCTATCATCCAAACCTTAAACTGTGGTTAGTCTTGATTGTGGTTAGTTGAAACAAGTGGACTTCATAAACCAGGGAATGCCAACTCTTTTGGACTAATGGATGCATTTTGAATTTTGAGAGTGTGCTGAAGGCAGCAGCCACAAAATTGCTACCATAGAGAGGGTGTGGCATAACACGAAATGGCTCCCATGTGGAGCATGGTATAACACAAAATTAGAGAGACTGTTATTCCCCCAGCAACCTTAGGTTTACCATGGTAAGTCAGCTGTGTGTCAGCTGATTTCTCACTTACATGCACACTGATTCTGTTGCCGTCTGATAATAACAGAGAACGTCCCTCAGTTCCAGGAAAAGTATACAATGCAGCTATACCACTCTCCTTTCACAGAAATCACTTAGACGGTACCTGCACATTTTGCCCCATAACCTGCTTTCTACGAGGGTTAGAGACTTATTTTTAGTAGTAGTAGTAGTAGTAGTAGTAAAAAGGTAAAGGTAAAGGACACCTGACAGTTAAGTCCAGTCGCGAACGACTCTGGGGTTGCGGTGCTCATCTCGCTTTACTGGCTGAGGGAGCCAACGTTTGTCCACAGACAGTTTTTCCAGGTCATGTGGCCAGCATGACTAAGCTGCTTCTGGCGAAACCAGAGCAGTGCATGGGAACGCTGTTTACCTGGAATGCTGTTTACCTGGAACGCCGTTTACCTGGAATGCCAGAGCAGTACCTATTTATCTACTTGCACTTTGACGTGCTTTCAAACTGCTAGGTTGGCAGGAGCTGGGACTGAACAACGGGAGCTCACCCCGTGGCGGGGATTCGAATCACTGACCTTCCGACTGACAAGCCGTAGGCTCAGTGGTTTAGACCACAGCGCCACCCATGTCCCAGTATAATAATAATAATAATAATAATAATAATAATAATAATACAGTCTGGGACACCTCTGGAAGTCGTCATGAGCATAATGGCACCCACAGGCATTTGATTGGTGTCCTCTGTCATAAACTTTGACTAGATATTGGCTTGCTTCAACTGACTATCAACCACAACCACTGTTGGTCAAGGTTCGGATGACATAGCAAACTGCAGTTAAGTCTAGAAAAAGAGAAAGCTTCCAAACACCTCATGCCACACCAGAGGAGGAAGGGGAAGCACAAATGTTCCAAACTCACTACAGATCTCCCATTATGTCCAAATGAAGCCAATATGTGGTTTTTCAAGGCCTTCAGAAACATGCTTTAGACGTGTGTCTTGTCTATAACCTTTGAACACACACACTTACTTTTTGTGGTGCACAATATCATTCATTATTAAATTGTTTTGTTTATAACAAAAATCCACATTCTCATAATCACTACAAAGGAATTATAAATTCAAAAGTGTTGATATTTACTGCAGATAAAATCAATACAGTAGAGTTGATTAAGGCTTTGGTGTACTTTGTTGTATGCATGAATTGTCTACCACAAAATGAGACATGCACGAATATAATTTAGCACCTATTTGCCTTGGCCAATGATAAACAGGCCCACATGTCTAGTTAACTTGGGTTTTGAACAAGCCATTTCATTGTTACATTCACATGAGGTATAAAATCAATGCCTGTCTTTCGTGAGCTTCATGCTGTGAGAGCCATTGCTTATGTGGCCAAAATGGCAGCAGCCATGCAGAAGGGAGAAGTATAAGCAAGTTTGCACAAAACAAAAACAAAAACAGAAGGAGGGGCAGGAGATTTGCAGAACAGCCCAGTGAAACCTGAGCATGCTCAGTGGCTATGGAATGCAAATGCTTTTTGTTCTGGTGCAGCCAATGGGGAAAGTGTGTTTTCTAAATGGTCAGCGAGTTCTGAGACATCTATTTGCTCACTATCAGGTTGGATTTGATCCTCCTCCTCATATGAGAGTACCCGGCATCCCTCCAAATCTGACTGGAATCCCTGGAGGAAAACCGTAAGTAATGTCTGACAGCATAACTAAGTCTAAATCAGCCAGAGCTCATTCTGTTTACCTTTTGTCAACACATGACAGTTCCACAGGGGAAGGTACGTGGAATTTTCCAGAAAGGTTACAGCCAGCTGCTGATAAGGATTTTCAAAATACAATCACCAATAGCATTTTCATACTGTTTTTATTTCTAGTGCATGCCATTTCGTTGGCATGTTAGAAGCAATTGGCAAGATGTGCTTCTCTTTTCCTAGAACTTTGCCTCACCAGACTGCTGAGGAGGAATTTAGTACTTGGGTGGAATAAAGAAAATATGTCCTTGTTTTGATTTGTTTTTAATCTGAAAACCTCTCCTGTGAAGATAGGAATTCCTGTTTCTAATTTTAGTAGGATCTGAAGATTTATTTAATTTTTAGGAATCATTAAAATGGGAATCTGTACTTCTCACTTGCATGGAAACATGGCTGTGCATTCCATGCCATTTGTGGCTTTTGCATGTAGATTTTGAGAGCTTCTGGCCTGTGTGGTTATTGAGAGCAGTGGCAGCTGATGCCCACCAGACCTAGAGGAATAGCCAGGTTGTTGGGGGTTTCTCCCCATCCCCATCCCTTGCAATGCTACTGTGGACACTTTGGCATTATAGTCTTAGAAATAGTACTTCACTAAATTTTCAATTTCTTGTGTGGGTTCATGCCAAAGAAGCTATGCATTTCTTAGAAGTAAACCACACTGGATTCCATGACTTCGCTCCCTGATAGGTATGCATAGGATTGCAGCCTGAATTGGTTCATCTTAAAAGAGCCACACAGGATTGTTAACAGGGGAACAGATCTATGGGGAACTATTATGCATTCCTCACCACCCCAAATGTGGAATGGAGAGATATAAAGAGGACCTGGGAGTCAAGGGCCTGTGTGACGTTGCACCAGTCATTGTCTCTCAGCCTAAACTGCTTCACAGGGCTAGTGTGAGGAAAGCATGAGGTGAAAGATGACCCATGTATGCTACTTTCAGCTCCTTGGAGGAGAGGTGGAATGAATATAAGCATAATACTGATAAATAGGGGGGAAACAAAATAAAAAGTCTTATATCTGGCAATATCCTGATTTTGGATTGGATTGAATGGAACACAGGCTTGCAAAGACATGCATCTGATTGGGTGGGGAGGCTCCCGCTAGCTTTGCCTCAATGCTGGGACACTTTCAGGGTGTTTCTGAGGGACTTGGATTGACGAGAGTTAATTCCCCAAGAAACAAAATCAACATGGAGGTTCAGAGGGGTTCCCTGGTACTCCCATTGAAATTCTCCACTCCTGGAGACAGGAATGGGGCATAGAGGTGATTGTGATTGGCTGTGCTGCCCAGAGATGTGATTGGCCAGCACAGGAGATGAAGCATGTCCAGAGTGTCTTGTAATGTGAGGTACTGTATCAAATATGAATGTACAGGACAGAGAGGCTTTGAGGCTTTAGGGTGGGCAGTGCCCCTCCTGCCCTAATGGACCAGGATAATTTGTTGTGATTGTTTAAATTGCATGCTTGCAAAATGTCTGGTGCTAAAAAACTAAAACCAACAGCAATATGAAGCTAAGGACCTTTGGTGTCCTGAACAGTTCAATAACCCATTGGCTGTTATTGTTTGGTCCATGTTTCTTAGAATTTATTTAAAAACAATACTCCATAATACCTAGTTCTACTCCCCTCCCCTCTCTTTCTCTCTTTCTCTTTGCTGGACGCAGCTTCCATCTTAGCTTGTGCGTACTATATAAATAGACAAGATAAACTTTGAAAATCCTAGGTGCTGAGCTGATCTCCTTTCATTATTTGCCTTTGAAACGAGGCTGACGCTACGCCTGATCACCCCAAGGCAGCGGGATGCCTTCAGTTACCCATAGCAACTTTCTGATGGCATATCCTTATCTGTGATAGATAAGTCTATTGAAAATTTCTGGTGTAGGAGTACAGATAATGCACCGTCTGCCACAGATTCATATTGACAGCAGGAGAGTTTTCAGCTTCAGTCTGAAAAGCTTGCTTCTTTCAGGCACACAAATCGAGATGTCACATTGAATTTATTTTGTAAATGGGATGCAGCGTCCTTGCTGTGTATCCTCTTCTTAGTAGGGGGGAGATTTCCATTCCCCTCCCAAACAAATAACTGCAACTCCTTCCGTGTCTCAGCTGACTGGTGCTCTATTATTTCATACCCAGAGCAAGTTGTGTGTTGCCTTATGTTTGGGTTTGTTTTAAAGCCTTGTGTGCTAGTTCTATCTTTCCTGAAAATAGCATTTTTGTACAAGCTGATGACAATTAGAATAGAATTGGTTGCTGTTTTTTAAAAAGAAATCAGCCTCTTAGGAACACACTCTTGTTTTCCATTCTGCTGCTATTGAAAGAACTCCCTCTGGACAACCTGCTTCCTGTTTCTCCTCTACCACCTGACAACATGTTAACAGAATGTAAGGCCCACAACTTTTTTTTAAATAGCCTGGCCCTTGTTAAAGGCTACTTGTCTTTAAAATCCTGAGGTTGACTTTGGGCATTAATGATGTATGCAAATGCTAGAAGCATGGGGATCATGCTTGCTGTGCTGATGTATAGCATTAACATCCAAACATACTGTAAGCTTCTTTTCAAAAATATAGTCTCCTTTCTACTGCTTGCCATTTTATATAGTAATCCTTGTACACAGTGAAACTTCCAAGACAGCATGCATAGAACGGTAAAGGTAAAAAGTCAGCATGCATAGGATAAGAGTCATAGTGGCGTTGGCCAATTGTAAGCTGACCTAAAAAGTTAGGTGTCCTTCTGTACAGTGGTGTGGGTTTTCTGGAGAAATTTTGAACCAGAAAAATTTGCAGTGCAAATTAGGCTAATTTGCATAGTATTCTTTGCATGGAACATGTACAGTTCACATTAGAAAAGTTACTGATGCCCTAGAGAGTGCTCTAGTTTAGCATGTTTATTTTACTTTTATTTAGTAAGCAAAGCTAAAAACTTTGAAACTGTTCAAGCTTGCCTAGCATTCAATTTTCAGTTGGCATCTATTTATCATTAGTAATGAACATGGAAAATTAAAGCACTTACATTTTTTCCAGCTCATATCACTGCTCTTTTGTTCTTTGAGATACAGTGGTGCCTCGCAAGATGAAATTAATTCGTTCCGCGAGTTTTTTTCGTCTAGCAAATTTTTCATCTTGCGAAGCACGGTGTCGGAAAAGTTTTGGAAAAGCTTCAAAAATCACCAAAAACCTCAAAAAAGGCTACCACACCGCGTTCTCTGAGTTGCTCCTCGAAGTCAAGTCGCAACTGTATTAACAGTGTTAAGAAAAAGGAAACAAACTTGCAAAAAACGCAAGACGTTTTCGTCTTGTGAAGCAAGCCCATAGGGAAATTCGTCTTGCGAAGCAGCTCAAAAACTGCAAAACCCTTTCATCTAGCGAGTTTTTCGTCTTGCGAGGCATTCGTCTTGCAGGGCACCACTGTACTGCATCCCAAATTATTTTTCATGCAAGAGGTCCCAGACTGCCTTTTAGACATCAAGACTGTAGCCTATTTTCTTTCCAAAAGAGTTTCCTTCTAAGCTTCTAGTTTATTTCCATCTTTCCGTCTAGTTGTAGTTGTGGTTTATTCTGGTGCAGCCTTTTGTAATTTCACCTCCATACAAAGTAGTAATCAGTGTGATCCCACAGCTTCCTAACTTGTGCATATCTGGATAGTGAAAATGGTATGTGGTCATGTTGATCTTCCGATATAACAATATTGGTCTAATGAACCATAGTTTATTAGTGTGACCCCACACACCATAGACTGAGAATGAGATTTGTGCTCAGGCACTCTATCTTCACTCCCTCTCTTCTCATCCTTTTATGTGCCCAGCTTCAGTGCCACTGTGGAGGAGTGAGTGCATAGCCCACCACTCCTTCTGTCTAATAGGCCATGGATTAAACTGCAATTGTTAGGTCTGAATGGGGCCAATGTGTCTTACTTGACCAGGTAGTTCAAAAGTCTTCGGGCAGCGTGTTGAGAGAGGGAAACTAATTTCGGTTATATGTTGATGGTGATAGGTCCCTGGCTGAGTTTCTTCTGTTTTATTTTAAAAGGGAGTGCAGAATAACTAAATTGCATAATCAATATTTTAAGCCCTACAGAGAATCTAGCAAATGGGTAACTAGCAGTAAGTGAAAGTATGAGGTGGATGAGGAGAGCACTTTATTTCCTATTTTACTTCCCTTGGTTCATGTGATGTGCTTCGGGCCTCTAAGCATTGATTCCTCCCTCTCTCTCTTGAATAGCCATGCCTTCCTATAAATCATCTAGTGTTGGCATCTGCTGTGAATCACTGAATGGCCAAGGACCTTTTTCAGGGGGCAGGGGAGATGTTGTAGGGCCACGATAAGTAATCATTAAGCACTGAAGCCATTCTTCAATCGATCTGATCACAAGAGCATGGGAAGCTGCCTTCTACTGCCTCAAACCACTGGTCCATCTAGCTCAGTGTTGTTTACACGGACTGACAGAGCCTCTCCAGAGCTTCAGGCAAGGTACATTCCCAGCCTTACCTAGAGATGCCAGAGGTTGAGCCCAGGGATCTTCTGCATGCCCGGCAGATGCTGTACCTTGGAAGGTCATGACAGCATTTCTCCAGATAAATTTAGGCATCTGTTCATGTTGATTTGCGTTTTGCACTCAGGAATTGATAGGTGTGAATTGCTGGGGGAGGCAAGGAACTAAAAATAACATTTTCACTTTGCAAATACAACATTGCATCAAAACTGTGCCCACATGGCTATTTCCCAAGCCAGGTGGCAGTTGTGTGGAAAGAAGGCACGTCACCGGCATTGCACAAGTGGTGAGCTTTCCTTGAGCCGCTCCACAACATCTACTCTGCTTGCAAGTGTGAACTGGTACACAGTTATGACTTAGTAACTGAAATAGGCCAGCTTTGTGACCTGGGGCTTCCCCTCCCACCTTCTTCTTTTCATCCCAAACAGAGCATACTCATTTCACGTTACTGCAGATGGTCAGATGCAGCCAGTTCCTTTCCCCCCAGATGCTCTCATTGGACCAGGAATACCGCGTCATGCTCGCCAGATCAACACCTTGAATCACGGGGAAGTGGTGTGTGCTGTCACCATCAGCAACCCAACAAGGCACGTGTACACTGGTGGGAAGGGATGTGTCAAAGTCTGGGATATCAGCCAGCCTGGCAACAAGAGTCCTGTTTCTCAGCTGGACTGTCTGGTAAGTTTATCCTATAGAAACTGGAGTCCAGTATTGAAATATAGGAACCTGGTGAATTTAACTAGGTCATTGGCTAACATCTGAACCCCCTAAAACAGCCTTTCTCAACCTGTGGGTCCTCAGATGTTGTTGAACTACAACTCCCATCACTCCTAGCTAGCAAGGCCAGAGCTCAGGGATGGTGGGAGTTGTAGTCCAACAACATCTGGGGACCCACAGGTTGAGAACCACTGCCCTAAAGGGACCCCTAAGTAAAAAAGGAAAGTTAAATGTTTTAAACAGTAAGTAATAAAAGCTAAACAATGGAGCTGCAGAGAAACCAAGCCAAGGATCAAATACTTGTTGAGCCCTGAACCTTGCTCTCTTAGATGGAACTCAGAGAGGTAGGGGTGGGTATATAAACAAGCCTACTGAACAAACATAAAATTTACATTTATTGTTTCACCCACTCTGGCCTTTGGCCCTGCCCAGGTAGCCCCCTGACGTTTGCCCCGAAGAGCAAGCAGTTTCAGGCAAAGAAGGTTCCCCATCTCAGCTTTGCTTCTGCATGGCAATGGCAGATAGAACTGGTTTCTTGCTCTCAAGCCTTGCAAGAACCAGTGCCCATCTTCTACAGCTGCTTCATTTTCCCTTGTTGATTTTGGCACCCATTTTGCAGCCTTTACAATTTTGTACCCCCAGAAAGCGGGCAGTGAAGAAGTGAAACTCTTATGGCGCAGCAAATCCAGAGTTTAACTTTGATTGTGTTAAGGATTGCTCAGGCTGATCTTAGGTGAACTGTTTGCCAGATGTAAAATGGTGATGGAGTGGCTTAACAAATGTGGCATTTGTACCAAATACTTAACTTTTATCGTTAATATTTTAGGAACCTTTCATAAGGTTGATAAATATATTATAAAAAGGCCTTACTCTCAAGGTGCATTTTGGAACACTATTGTGTTGGAGGCTCCATGGTTGAAGACTGTTCTTCCTCTTTGCATGCTGTTCTGGAGCTTCTCCTGATTTTTTGGGGGGGTTGCACAGGGGAAGGGGGAAACAGCCCTAGTGGGAGTCTTTGCATGGGCTTCTGCTAACAGAACCAGAGAGTTGAACCTGACTCCATGAAGCTCTATGAAAACAGTAATGTTGATGGTAGTTTTAAATGGGTGTGTTCAAGCCAAGTCCTATACTTACTGTCCCCTTAATGTGTCTTTTTCTACTGCCACAATGTTACCTGACGCCAAATATCTATGTCAGAAAAGAACAGTCTCTTGCCATGACAGAATTTGGCTCTGTTGAATTAAGAGAAGTGTAGCACAAAGAAACACAAAAATAATTGCTTTCTCCTTACTAGCACTGCATGATTTGTTACTAGTTTTATCCTCTTGGCTGCTTCAGAATTTTTACCACTCTTAATGGGACTACTGAAAATGAGCATAATGACAACTGCTGCATTTATGGACTAAAACCTTAAATAGCTGGAGCCTGGGGTTTTCCATTCCTTGAGTCCCCCACCCCAAGCTTTTCAGCAACAGGTGTTCTTAGGAACTTGGGATATTAATTATCAAAGAGAGCTTCTGTAACCACTGAGGGCACACTGATTTTGTCCAAAGTGATTTCTTTAGCACTGCACCACACTGTTAGAAAACAAACAAACACTTATCTTGGATCGGGTTCTTTTTGAGATACTTAATGTGCAATAAGATGCTAGAATTGCCATTGCTCATATTGAAAACAATATAAAGAGCTATGCTTTCAAGAGAGAAATTCACTGAATTTTCTTAACTGCTGTCTCTGCTTAGATGTGAACAGTAGAAGGCAGGACTGGCAGTGACATGTGTGGGTTGGAAATTATATGTCCTGTTCAGATGATTGTGCATACATAAACCATGGTTTATGAAGTGGGTGCTGAGTGCTCCTCCTTCACCATTCCCTCTACCCATTGTATGTCAACTTTAGCATGAAAATCCTGCTTTGTATTACGCTGGAGTTCTTCTGAGCTGAAGGATGACATGATCCTGGCTTATTACCCTGGTTTGTGTTAGCTCAACATTAACTCAGAGTTCCTTGGCTAGGACATAACAGGGAGCTCTGACTTAATACAAAACAAGACCTTCATGCCAAAGCCAGTGCAGGTTGAAAGGAAGAGTGCTCAGCCCTGAAGCTAATGCAACTTTGAATGATTGTCCATGCCAGGCCAGTGAGGTTCAGCTTCAGAACTTACAGTGCTTAAAGTCTGGCTATCGGATGAAAACATTATCATTGGCCTTATTGCAGAGAATGTATATTAATGTCATTGAGATTTGTACCTCCACAGAACAGAGATAACTACATTCGATCATGTAAATTGCTCCCCGACGGATGCACCCTGATTGTTGGCGGGGAAGCCAGCACGTTATCCATTTGGGACCTGGCAGCTCCAACTCCACGTATAAAAGCAGAGTTGACATCCTCAGCTCCTGCCTGCTATGCTCTGGCAATCAGCCCTGATTCCAAGGTCTGCTTCTCCTGCTGTAGCGATGGGAACATTGCAGTCTGGGATCTGCACAATCAGACTCTGGTCAGGTTAGTTGCTGCTTTTCAGCCAATTTCCTTCCATTTCCCCCCCTTTTGTATGTGCAGTTACCATGCAGCAGTATTACACTGTCATGACTGAAAGTGCTAAATTGCCTAAATTAGCAGTTCAGAGTGGGCTGGCCATTGGGGCAAATCAGCAAGATTTTCCTAAGAGATCTATGAAATTGTCTGGGTTTAGAGACAAATCGGGTTTTGTTCTTCTTCTTGTTCCTGTTACCCTACCCATTCCTTCTGTTGGATCCCACCGTCACTGCCACTGTCATCAACCACTTGTATTCTGTTCCATTTCAGTTGAACTGAGCTCATAAGACAGGGCAGTTGTAGCTTTTCAGGGAGGAACTAGTGCATTAGAGATGTCCTGAGGCCATCAAATGCCAAGAACTCTACCAAATACACCCATTGTGGCTACAGAAGCCTATCATAGCCAGAGAAGTGGTTTGGGGGAAAGGGCAGCCAGCAGAGATGGAAGAAATGCCGCTGCCCCCTCAATGACTCCAGAGGTCAGCAGACATAACATTCTAATTACTTCCAGCAATCAGAAGGCTGTGCTTCTGAATCTCCCTTTGTACGGCAACTAGCAAGCCAGGAAGGGTCCTGTTGCGATGCCCTCCTTTCTTGTTTCCTTTGCACCTAGCTCAGAAGTTCGTACACGTGCTTAGCCATTTTCCTTGCTGAATCAGTTCACCACTTTCCCCTCATCTGCTGTCTCATCCGTAAACGTGTCTGAAGCAAAATACATGTATTTTCAAGCTGTCCTTTGCAGGGTTGTGTGTATTCTACAATTCAATGAGAGCTCTGGAAAGCTGCACGATTTGGATATGGATGGAGAATTCAGCCTCCAGGGAACCTTGGTTTTCTTTTGTTTGTTTACATAACCAGATTCTAGTGCTTGTGGTTGTGAGTGTATACTCAAAAGTGTGTGAATAATGCACACTGAAACCCAGAAGCCTGAAAAATGCCTGAACAAGATTCTCAACAGCAGAGGAATGGGCTCAATGCTCCCCATGCCTATCAAAATAATTATGCAAACTAGAAAAAATGGTATGCAGCATTTCTTCATTTGCATAATTTGTTGAGAATGGAGATTTTCTTGGTGCAAAATTTAGATTACCTTTGGCCTCAAATCCTTCTGTGTTTTAGTGCCAAGTGTGCAGTGCAGTACCTTTTCCCCTCCACTATACCTACATTCCACAAACCGCTCTTCCAGAGCATGGAAAAAGCCTAGTTATGTGTGCGGTGGCAGCATGACCAGTCACATTCAGGATACAAACTCATGGGAGATTTGGAAACATCTACCATGTTTCCAGCAGTCACTCACTTAGCTCAGACTTAGATAATGTTGCTTATTTACATGTAGTCACAAATCAACATCTCTAGCTTTCAAAAAAACAGACAAAACCCCCAAAACTGGCTGCTTGCCATCTTTGCTTCCTCAAAGCACAGCAGGTGTGCTCTGCAGACCCCTCTGAAAATGCTGAATGGCCAGAATATTAATAGCTCATTTTCAGGTTATCTGGTTGCCCTCAATTGCTTTTGGCATAGCGTGCATCAGGGGAAACGAAGAACAAAAAAAGTCCTTTGGTATGTCTGCAAATAATGAGAGAGTGAATAATTTCCAATTGAATTTGCTTCCATCAGGGACAGTTGACAGTGTTATAGTGAAATTATGGCACTCCCTGTCCCTCTATTTCTCCCCTATTTCTATTATATGCATATTATGGGCTGCTCCTTTATCACTTTTGTTGTCTTCTAATGGGCTCTTTCAGATTGGGTTCCTCCCATCTGACCTTTTTTAAGTTACCTGCCTGCTGCACCTAAATACCTTTGCCTATTTCTACTTACTGCTCTACTACCCATGTCCTTTCTTGGTTCCCCTCCTGGACACTATGCCACTTCCTGTTCCATATTCCTCAGGGCAACCCACAACACTCATCTGCTTCAGCCCTGCCAGCTAGCTACATTTCTGCTCTGCATCACTGAGACATTCCTGGTGTTCTGTTTTGCTATTTAAAAAATAATAATCATGGAATATGGTGAGAATTTAAAACGACTCCTTTTAAAATCCAGTTAAGTAAGGTAGGAAACATATACTAAAGTACTGACTTTGGCTATAGGAAATAAACCCTTTTTTAAGTCAATAAAATGATGCGTTTTGAGAGCTCTGATCCCTTAAGAATGCACGTAGCTCCAGTTAGCTGTGTGCTGCTGGCATCTGCTAATAGCTGAGCTCAAGCCATCTTTCAACATGGTCATTTCTACTTCAGAACTCTTTCAGAAACTATTCCAGTTCCTCCGGTGTGAATTCAAGGATATAAGTCTTACACTGTCCAGCTGGATATCTTTGAAAAGGGCCTCAGCATTTCTGCTGTAGGTAGAAGCCAGCTAACCAAAACTTGGTGGTTTGCAGCTTCTGTCTCTTGGCATTAAGTACCTTTTGCCGCCAGTAACCAGTATTTTTTAAAACAACAACAACACCCGTTTAATGCTTATACTATTGTTGAGCTATCCCAAAGCTATTGACAGTATAGGTACAAGGCAGCTCTTAAATCTTCTATTTAACTAAAAGATAAATAAAAATTAGAAATTGGCTCACAAATCCTGTGTGTTCTTTTCCTAGTATATTTTTGGCAGCTAACCAGCCTTCTCTCACCAGCCCCCCAGAGGCTAAGTGACTTTTCTTTTCGAAGTCTCTAACACTTCCAGGTTTGGAAGGGAGGGAGTGTGATTAACATAATGTCCACATAAGTAATTTCCTTTCAGGCCTTCAGGATTAAAGAATGAATGTGTACGCACACCTCAATGTGAATGTCTTGGCAAGGCAGTGACTTTTAACTGCTCAAAATAGCTTTATAATATGACAGTGTTTGGTGGGACCACAAGACCAACTTTTCATACGTCTCAACTCAATTGGCAGCAGCCCACAATAAATCTCAGCAAGCACAGCCGACATTTGCACCTGTCTTGATACTAATGAGTGGCTATTTAAAGCATCAGAGTTCGGCTACTTAGCATTTCTGGACACTTACAGGCTGAATGAGTCATCTTAATTATGAACTGGGCTGTGTGACCATGGCACTTAAAGAAAATGTCAAAATTCTACAGCAAGGTAGTTCAAAATTCAAGTAAATCCAAAACTTGCCACCTCTGTCGCCTTTATACAAATCAAGCAGCTTTCCATGCCTCCACTTATTTCCTCCCCCCCCCCCCGCTTTTTGCTAGTAATGGAAAAGGGGAAAGAGCTTTTCAGGGTACTGAAATCCTAAATCCTGACTCCTGGAAACTGTGATCAGCTGAATATCTTGCTTCTAAAACTACAACGAAGCACTCCCTTGCTAAGACATATACTCAGTGTTAGTTCATGTTCTTTATTTTAAAAATGCTTATATTATCTGGATGGTGATTATATGCCTAATTGCAGTTTCTGCTTGTGTGTGGTCCATGAGGTGCAGTGGAGTGGCCCGTAAGAGGAATTCTGCCTTGTGTCTAAAGAGCAGCACATTTCCCTTGATATCTGTGTTTGTCTTAGCTTTTCTCTCCGCAATCCATAATTGTGCACCAACTGGTTTTTAGTCTTTCTTTACTGTGCTAATTGCATAGTGGACCAGACCTTTTCAGTAAGTGAACGTTGTTGTCAGACAGTGAGGCTTGTTCGCTGGAAGGATAAATCACAGCATTACACAATCACTTTATAAATGTTACTTTTGAGAACAGAGAAAAGAGGTGCGAAAAGCACATTGTTCAAGACTCCCATATAGTTAACTTTTGAATGGTCAGACACACGAGCCTTGCAAAATTGACTTTTAAGATGCATGGAGATAAAAGCAATGTCTGAAATGACTTCCAGGACTGGCTTTGTAGTTCTTTCTGCTCACATCCCCTGTTGTTTGAACAGTCTTACACGTACTTGCACTTTCTAGGAAGAGGTGTGCAAGTGCTGTGCCAAGTTAGTGGCACACATAGATCATGACTAACTTCCTTCATACTGACCTCTAATGCCACTGTAGGACCACAATCATATTGTGTTAGTTGGCTGAGTTCATGCAAGAGAAGATAGATAGATGGAGCTTTCTTGGACAATAATCCAAGGTAATTGTTGGATGGTGAGCTCTAGATAGAGAATAACTGGGCATTTTTATGTATGTGTCAATGTATGTCTTTTGAAAATCTACCCTGCCTTTCATTGGACCACATGTGTAATTTATGTATCATAAAAACTAAACCTAAACCATCAGATTAATTCATAAATCAATGGGAGCAGCTAAAACACCACAGTTAAAATGTCCATCTTATAGCTGCAGAGCAGATCTGATACTTCCAGCCTGAACCTACAGCCTAGCAACCAACAAAAGCATGAGCACATAAAGGGACATTTATATCTTTAAAACACTTTTGCCTACTCTTCATTGTAAATACAGTTCTAGAGAGAGGGTTGCAGTTTAAAATACAAGTTCATGAACACAGCACAACAAAGATGGTGAACCTGTTGCCCTCCATAGCTTGTTGGACTCCAGTGCCCATCAGCCCCATCCAGCATAGCCATTGTGGTTGAGAAAAAAGGGAGTTATAGTTCACCAATCCCTGTAAGGCCACACATTCCACATCCCTGTAATAAAATTATGATTTAAGAAAGCCAGGTCCATCCTGGCACTAAACCCCAACAAAGGTCTGGGCAAATAGCTTCAATTGTCATCAGAATCTCAGTAAGGACAGTGCCAGTGGTATCTCAAGAGGGTAGAGAGCTCCAAAGCTAAGGCATCACCATAAAAAAGGCTCTCTCTTGCGTTGCCACACAGCAAGTCTCAGCTAGAAGTGGCACTGCCAAGAAAGGGAACCGATCCCTTTCTTGAGAGGGTGCCCAACTACACCTCTGAAGGGAGGGCATTTCACAGAAGACACCACAGTGTTCAAGCACTCTGCATATTTAGGTCCTAGCTCACACAGGGCTTTCTAAGTAACCACATGTCTATTCTAGACATGGAGAAAGCTTGGGGTAGACTGGCTCACCTGTCATTTACCTGAGCAAAGGAGGCAGCATAATTTCCTAATGTGGGCTTCTGGAATAAAGAGCTTCTGCTTACTCTCTTGTTGCAGACCTTGTGACTGGAGCAGCTTAGTTCTTGCCAGGCTTCCTGAGCAATAAGTATTGGTTGCCAATTTGTTGTGGTTCACTTCTTGCCCTTGCTTGTGTTGGTAAAAAACAGAGAAAATAAAAGGAGAGCACGAGCTGATAACTCCTTGAATTTTCAGACCAACGACTCCAGACATGCCATGTTGATTCATAGGGTGTCCCATGGTAGTCGTTCTGCGCCTTCCTCTTTTGCTTTTAAAGCATGAAGCTGAAGCTAATTGCTGATGGTAAAAGGCAGGCAGGCGCCTTAGAACATTCCAGTTTAGGGATTAAGGAAGGCTCGAGCTGACTCTTTGTTACCAAGAGTAGGGATTTCCAAATGCCGAGATTTAAAATGTAAAACATTGTTGAATAATGATGGCTGCTCATGACCTGTTTGCTACCAAGGGCATCATTTTGCAGGCTCAGCCAACACAAGTAAAAAGATTAGGTTTATTGGATCCCTTCCTGCATGTGTTTATGTAGCTGAAGTAATTTTTTTTTATGCTCTTGATTCACAGCTTAAACAAAGCCTATAAATAACTGCCTGCCTCTGTTGAGGCAATTTGTCCTCTGTACTTTGAGTTTAGCCTAGGAGCCTGCTAAGTTTTTTTTATATTTCCAGGTGTCGTCATCGTGAATTACATTTCAGTTTTTCAAACTGTCAACTTACCTTTTCCAAAATCTCTGCTAATGTTCACTTAGTTCCTGTTTAGACGATTAGTGGCACATTCCATGTGCTTTGGCACCTGCAAAATAGTTTTTTGTATAGTGTGGTATTTTATGTCAGGTTGGGGTGGGCGAGCAGTGTTGCTGCTTGCCACACATCAGGTGATGTGGAGGAGATGACACACAGAGAGAGTCCAAAACTAACAACACAACAGTGTTTACCTTGAGTTCTGGCAGGAAATCATTATTCAATCTGGTTTGTTTTATCAGGCAATTCCAGGGCCACACAGATGGAGCCAGCTGTATTGACATTTCTAATGATGGTACCAAGCTCTGGACGGGAGGCCTGGACAACACTGTGAGATCCTGGGACTTGAGAGAAGGGCGGCAGCTACAGCAGCATGACTTCACATCCCAGGTGCCTAGTATTCCTTACTGCAAATTTCAGGCACTGGCTGGTGTACTGAACAACTTCCATCTTATCTTGGTTATTAACTTCAGAGTGAAGTCAGAGTATTAATGCTAGCAACATTATTAGCACCACATCTGCTTTTATTATTCACATAGGCTTCTGGTATAGTCTCAGGCTGCTTTCAGCCAAAGCATTTACTGTGGAGCAAAGCTGTTATTGTTAATGAAGCATCCATTGGGGTAATCTGACAGCTTTGGAATAAAACGGTATCTTAAAACACTGGACTCTGCTAAGAATGCAGTTTGGCATTTTTGCTGGGGATGGGGTGGTGAAAGCAAAGGAGGTGGAAATGTCCCAGAACACTGACAAAGCATGTGTGCCATTGCTTCCCATAATGCAAAATTAGCATGCACCCTTCTTATTTAATAAACAATCAGTGCTGCCATTTGGACTCAAATAATGATTTCTTGTTCTAAAAGAGATGCAAAATGACTTGTGATGGCACAGTCAGAAATAAGTCCTATTGAATTTAATGGGTCTTACTCCCAGGTAGGTTGTTTATGATTGCAGCCCTAGTTTATTGTCTCTTGTTTCCTTCCTTTCTTGCTAATATTTGCAAGAAAAATAAAGGGTTCTTTCTCTCTCTCTTAAAGATTTTTTCCCTTGGCTACTGCCCCACTGGTGAATGGCTGGCTGTGGGAATGGAGAGCAGTAATGTGGAAGTGCTGCATGTAAATAAGCCAGACAAATACCAGCTTCATCTGCATGAGAGCTGTGTGCTGTCACTCAAGTTTGCTTATTGTGGTAAGTTGGAAGAAGAGCGGCTCAAAGTCACCAGTATTTCTACAAGCCAATCACACCTGAGCTGAAAGTCTTAGGGCAAGGCACCTGAATGCTTTCATTTATTTTGGTTTAACAGCTGGAAAATAAAGGTAACACCCTATTACCAGCTCCCCCAGGAGGTTAGTGAGAGGTAGCTCATGCCTATAAAGTCGCAATACCATCAAAGCAGCTTTCATACGCAGCTGGTGGCCCATAGTTTGCTTAGGTTGTGAGGCTATAGAATGTTGGAAATCAAGAGTTTTGAATGAAGCCCATTGCTTTACTGAGCTAGTTATGCCTTTTTAGTTAAATCATTTATAAAAATCCACAAAGGTGGATTTGTCCTGGATGAGGAGAGCTTGGGGATGCCCTGTGGCTGATTTCAGGCACTCTGTGTTGGTTAACCATGCATCAAATGCTTGTCAAAATGACAGGCCGCTGAATTTAGTAGGCTACTATACTGGTTTTCTGTAAAGTGACTTTGTGCAATCTTTCACAGCCTGCCCCCCGCCCCCACCTGCAAAGCTGTTAACATGGGGAACATTTTAGGCATATGCTAAAAGTGCTTTTAGATACAAGAGAATATGAAAAAAAAATACGCAAGTCTGTCTGTTAGTGTCAATTATTTGACTGTGTTTTCATTGATGGTCACATTACAGGCAAATGGTTTGTTAGTACTGGAAAAGACAACCTCCTAAATGCCTGGCGAACCCCATATGGTGCAAGCATATTCCAGGTAAGAAGAACAGCATATCAGTGAAAGGGATTTGAACCTCGTGGTGGTGGGTGAGGTGTAAGAACAAAGGTATTATTACCAGTGTCTCACACTTTCACCAGAGAGGTCAGGGAGGTGGACAAGGGTTTATCCTGTTCTGTGCATGCACACAAGTGACTTTTTAAACCAGAACTTGGTATGTTCTAGAAAAGAATAAACAAGACACTCATACTGCATACATTTATACTATAACTCTGTTCTTTTTCTTCTAGTCCAAAGAGTCATCTTCTGTACTTAGTTGTGATATCTCCGTGGATGATAAATACATAGTTACCGGCTCTGGAGACAAGAAAGCTACTGTCTATGAAGTTATCTACTGAGAAATTGGTTGGAGACATAACGAGTTGAACTGGGCCAAAACATTCTTAATGTGTAGACATAGAAAGATTTTACCTTTCTTAATTAAAAAAAAGAAAAAAAGAGGAAGAACTTGATTTCCACAATGTCACACAAAGCTATTCAACATGTATTAAACAGAAGGCAGCCTTTTGGTATCCAGTTCCTGGATCGATGTGAAGCAAGAAGGCAAAATGGATTAATGTAGCATAGTTTTGATGGATTTTAAAAGCAGAGTCTGCTGAAGATTGTTGAAGCCTTTGGGTTGGTTCCCCCCCCCCTTTATGACCTCATAAAAATCATGCTCATTGCTTGAATATGCGGGATTATGTTTCAGCACTTGCAATTCCACCTGCATTCTTGTCTTGTGTAGAGCAGTGATATCTTGGATAAACTTGTTTCCTGGTTTTGCCTCTTGGGATATGGGTTTTTGTATTTTTTGTTGAAGATCAAACATTTGTATAAATTGTAAATATATTTGGTTTAATACAGTAAAGGCTTTAGTATCAATAAATTGTCTCTTTTTTCTCTCTCTACCCCAATGCCCCTTAAGTCATTTTTTTAAAAAATCATTTTATGGTTTAAATTTTGTAACAAGCTAGAGTAGAGTTTTTGCAATATTTGATAAGGTCTTTCTAGGGTGCATCAAATACTAGTCCTAACAAGAGAAGATCCATTGAAATTCAGAGGCATGACAAATTTGAGTCCATTAATTTCAGCACATCTCCTTTGAGTAAAACTTAGTTGGATACAACACTCTGTGCTGAGCTCTGAGGCTTATTTTACTAAAAGCAGTTTTCTTCAAACAGATTGGATTCAGAATTCACATTTGTACTGCAGAAAACAGAAAAGCAGTAACTTTTACATTCAGAAAATAATCTCATTTTAAATTTTGAGGAATTGTTTATTCAAAATGTTTGTAAGTGAATGTTTAAGGATTGAAATGCTATGGTAAGCAAGCTTGTGGTTCATATCCCATGGCAGTTTGCTACTTTGAGGCAACCCCCCCCACAAAAAAAAAGAACCCCGAGGCAACCCCTTCTGGGCCATTCCATTGCTTTCAAGGAAAGAAACAGAGTCAAGGACTTAGGGAAGAATTACATTATTTTCCAAGTGCAGGTTATCTGCTTTTATGAAAGTGGTACAGGTTTGCAGTCTTAGGAAGTGAAGGAATTCTTTATGCTTTTGAAGGTTAGCTTCATTGGGCATTTGCCTATTGGTTTGCTTGCTGGTGCGTTGGCCAGCTTCTCGACATTGATGCAAAACCTGGAAGCCAAATCAACACAGCATTGGCTTAACTACAGACACAGCTTCCCATTTGGAAACAGATTTCCTTTCTTGCATCTAGTGCCTGAAGAGACATTAGTTTTCTTTTCAATTTATATGCTCATTCTACCAAATCTATTTTATAGCAGTATGGAATGGTAGTAGCCCTAATATATATAACTCTGATTTCAGAATGTAAAATGTTAACTATTCTCAATAGCCTCATTTGATGGCCTTTAAAATTAGTATTGTTTTCTACCTATCGACACATATCAGATATGAACATGCGTGGATGAGCAGGTATGTAGCATTTGGTTCTGGGGTATAAGGCTCCAACATTATGCTTTTTAACCATTCAAAGCCCTGTCGTGTATCGTATCAAGAGTACGGTATTTCTAATGGCTTAATCCATTTGGATCATCTTTCTCCCATCACCCTACTGTTCTTGGACTTCATGGTTTCTTCGCTTTTCAGAAAGTTTTGCAAACCAAGGTGCTTAAAGGCTTAGAAAAGAGTCATTGGTGTGTGTTTTGTAAGTGTGATGTCTCTGGCTCTCAGGATAAATAAAGCAGGAATGTGCATATATACGGAACCCTATTTTTTCCAGAAATTGGGAAAGGATATGGCTGCTGGTGAGTGCTTAGGCAGATTAAGTGAATATATAGAGTGTCCAATTTGCATAATTCATAATTGTTGCAGAATTTGGGTTTCTTGTGGCTTTACAAATTGTCACAGAATTCCAGATGTTCTTACTCTTATCTTTCAGCAGCACTTTATTTTGATGGCTTGGTCCAGAAAGATACCGTTATGAGGCTTAGCATAATATGCAATGAACTGGCTATCCTTTTTTTAAAAAAATCTTCCGTCTATCACATTCTCAGATGAGTTTGTGTACATGCTGTCTGACCCTCCTGAAGTAGATTCACAGCAACCACTAATAGTTGACACCAGGAGGCTGATTCTCCTCTGTAATTTTCAGTTTAAGGCTAAAACTTTCCCCATTTTCCTTGTAGTGTATAGACTGCTGGTAGTGTTATGCTTTTTTTGCATCACGTAGATAAACACTAGTTACCTAGCTGTTTCCAGGTACAATTTACAGTACTGGTCTTGACCTATAAAACCCTCGGTGGCTTGAGACCAGAGTATACCAAGAATTTCCTTTACCTCTACAAAGTTGCCCAGACACCATGATCCACTTTACACAGTTCTCCACTGTCTGATATTTGGCAGGTGACACAAGAGATTGGAATTTAGAGCAGTCTCCTTTGAGAGGTCTGCCTGGATTCTCACCTTTCAGAGGACAGGGAAGGCTGTTAGATTTCAGTGAGCTTTTAAAAAGGTGCTGTTTTTAATCTGTGGCTGTTTCTGACTTGAGTAGCTTTTGGTTTTTATTGCTGAGGTGTTTATTGCTTTATTTGTATCTTTTTATTGATTGTTAGCTGCCTTGATGAGGTGTCATAAAAACCTAGGGTAGAAATACTGTAAATAAATGAAATAATGGCCATGAAACAGAGATGCACACATAGCACAGTGACCTGTTACTTTAATCATGTTTTGTTAAATGTTGGTGTACCTGGGTGGCATCAGAATCTCCAATAGCACCAGCCACCTGTTAAGTGGGAATGGGGAAGCTCCAGTTGTGGGGCTGAAAGCATCCATACCCTGCCTGGGCCTGCTTTTCACCATCCTCTTGCCATTTTACCAGGCAGGAATGCATCTTTCAACTGTGATATCATACCTCCTACTAGCCTGGATGGAGAGGTGTATATTTCTGACCATCCCCATCATTGCTAAGTGGCCCCTGAAAGGTTACCATGAGTGAATGCAGCCTTTAGGCTCATAAATCAGGTCCTCCCTTAAAGAGGGCACGTATTGCAGTGAGACCTGGAGAACCGACACCCTGTGTTGCGGGTGGGTACAACTGGTCAGCCACAAGACCTGATTGGTAGGTCCCTCGTAGCTGGGTGCAATCTGGCCAGTGGGACGCAGTCCAAACAGATCAAAGGACCTATATAAGCCCATGCACATGACCCAGAGCTTCATCTTTTGGCGTGTTCATTCGGAACACCCGCCCACCTCTCCCTACTTTTAGGACTTTACGCTTGACCTTGCTATGCTGTTGTGTGTCGTCTGTCGTTGGGACGGGCATGGCAGGAATTTTCCCACTTTGCTGATTGGCTGTTGCCATTTGGGTTTTGCCTGCCGCATAGCAAATCGTCACAACTTGTAAGGTTGTAGATAGGCTCTGGTTCAGGTGATAGGGATGGGAGAACGGTCTCGCCATCCCTATGCGAAGGGTATTCCGTTAAAGGAATCCAGGGACTTGATGGTTTGGTCAACCCCTGCGAGGGGATTGTGCCCGTGCCGGAGTCCAGGGGGACATTTGGATGGCGGAGGTAGCCCGTTCCCAGCTTTCTGCTTATCCAGGTGTTCACCCTTGGCTGACCTATGCTGGAGCCCTGGGTCAGAGCTACCTGCATGGCAGGAAGCTAGTCGAACCAGAGCCTATGCAACCAGTCACTTTCTGTAATCAATAAAGTTGTGGCCTAAATTCTGCCAAAAACCAAAACCAAAATTCGAGTCAAGTGTGAATTTATTTAAGGGGGTGGTTTCTGGGTCTGAACACACAAATGTTCCCTACCCCTGTATTAGGGCAACTGTTTTTAATATGTGTCCTCTCTTCCTATGATTGATGTGGATTATCAAATGACAGTTATGCACACATGAAGTGGGTGCAGCTCTGGGTTATGCTTATGGTATTCCAACATGGAGAGGTATCCCATCCCAATTCCAAAGAAATTGGGGGGATAGAAATAGTAAGCTGTTATCAACCTTCCTAAGTAAGGGGTGTGATCAACTTTATCTCATTTAAAAAACAACTGAGAATGTACTATGGCTGAAGATAATAGATTGTTTCACAACTTAATTACTGAATTGATTGTGCCTGAGCTTTCAATGTGCTCCCAAGGCCAGTTTACACGAGATGGATTGCCTACTTTGAACTCTGTCTTGTATAGAAAACTCTGTGATCACAGGCATGTTCATTTTGCTGTATGTGAGCTTGATCTTATAAGAAGCAGGCCTTCTAGACATAGAGGCTGAAGATGGTAGCTTTGCAACGGGAAGTAGTAAGCCCTTGTACTCCTTCAAGGATTGTGCTTAATGACAAGAAAAAAAATTAGCAAGCAGTCTGAGAAGGTCACAGTGGGAAGTTAACCCATAACATGGAAAACTACAAAATCACTTGTTACATCCCAGGGAGTGGGCTTAATTTGTTTAAAATCAAATCCATCTGTTCATTTCACACGCTTTGTTCCACTTCCTTGCAGCAATCCACAGCGGAGTACTCTGTTACTTTAAAAATTGGCTGCAATTATGATAAGCTAATAACTCTTATTTTTTGGTTAACTGCATCAAGATATTTTGGATAACTTCCAAGCTTCCCCTTAATTTTTCTGAATTATCCAATTTATCTATTGGCCCAAGTATTCACTGCAAAGCTAGGTTTAAAATTAATGTACTATTTTAATATTTATAAATTCTATATTAGTGCTGCCATTCAATTACTTGCTCCTAATGAATCAGCCATGTATTTCTGCTTAATATGACAGTAACCTTAATGTCAAATTAGTATTTGCAAATGTACTGCATGTATTATTGAAGAAATTGCACATTAAGATTTTACTTGTCCATTTCAAATGCATATTTCTCTCTGTCACTTGCTTCAATTGAAGAAAAGTTAGGCACTGCCAATGCACTGTCTGTGTAATCAGAAGAGATGTTAATCAGTTGCCCTGATTCCAAACTTCCCCTGCTTCCCGAACTGAAAAGGCTTCCACTTGCAGACAGCTTCATGCATATATAGCAAGGAATAGATAATGACTGTTCCTCTCCCATTGAGATAAATGGAGAAGCCTGCTACACAGGGGGTCCATGTATACCAGGGGTGGCTAACCTGTGGCCCCACAAATGTAACTCCTGCACCACTGGCCATGCCATCATGAACTGATAGGACAACATCTGGAGGACCATTGATTGCCCATCTCTGATCGACACAGTGAAGAGCACTCAAGGCTCTGGGTCATAATGGTGTCTTGAGTCTACTCATGCATTGAAATAATGTACTGGAGGATTGTACTGTTTAGTCCTGGACGACTGCTACCATGCTGGTCACCCACCCACCCAACTGCAGATTCTGTTGCCATGTAAAAGGATGCAATGCACATACAGATACAGGCACATAGAACT